CGCAAATTGGACACCAATTTCTATATGGTAGGTGTGAAAAATTGTGTTCTGCTATTTGTTGTAGAGTGGGCTGCTGTGGTTGTCGTAATCCTCTTGCTCTGTGTGCTTCATGATGCTCGTGTTGGTATTCCTCATCGTGGTTCTCCTAGGTGTACTCGTAGTCTTTCTTCACGGTGAGCCTTGTTTTTCCTTTCCACTGAAATAGTAGTGTTACGTTGCCCATGACTGTCCAGTCATCTTTGCGTTGTGAAATTTCTCCAAAGTTGTTGTGAGTGTTTGTAGTTCTATGAGGCTCAAGTGTGCTGATTGGTGGATGTCCTAGTCCATCTGTTGGAGTGAATAGAGTTGTTCTAAGTGTTCTATGGTGTCTTATCCAGTGTTCACCTTGTCTTTCCCAGTAGTTTTGGTTATCCTCCTATGCTGTGAGTGGTCTGTGGATTGTCTCCTTTGGTTATGTGGTATCAAGATTTTTAGAAGGTGCTGTTTTGGGTCTCCATATCTTTTGTGGTGCTCGTAGTTAGATATTTGATCTGGTTGGTGGTGTGTCCATTAGTCGTTGTGGTTGTGAGCTCTGCCTTGTTGGTGTAGTCTTTGATGTTGCTCTACGTGTAGGTATGAATTTTCTTCTGAATCTGGTTTCTCTAGTCTAGTTATCACCTTCTAGTCTTCGTTATAGTTCTTGCTTGGAAAGTTGTGTTAGGTTCTCTTGTAGTTGTTCTTGCTCTTGCCCTTGTCTGTTGATGATGGTTAGTCGCCAATCATCTAGTTCTCCTTCTAGTGTTGGGTAACCACTGTTGTGTGGTGTGAACAATGCTTTGCATGGTCGTTTATGTACTCTGATGGCGTAGCCACCATCAAGTTTCCAATAGTCAGTGTTTCCACCAAGGATTTGTTGTAGTCCTTGGTCTGTGTGGGTGAGTAGTGCAATTTGTTCTTGTTGTTGTACTGCTTTCTCTGTAGGTTAAATCACAGCAATGGATTTTCCATTGTCTGTAATCATTGGGTAGATGTCGAATCCTGTAGGGATGTCGATCTTTTCTGCTCGTAGGTAGAAAAGTCCTGAGTGTCTTATGAGGTGTGCTTGTTGTTATCCATGTGTGATGGTGTAGTGTCGTGGAATGAAGTCAAGTCCATATCCTCTATCAAGTAACTACAGGGATCCTTACATTATACACCTGAACATTGCCTTGTAAATGGTGGTTTCCCTTTATTTTGGTGAAAAAAGCCATGTTTCAATTGAGCAAAATGTATCTTTTAAGGAGCCCTGAAGTAGTCTTGATGCACTGAGGATTGGATACTTCACATCACAAACGTAGTAGGGTATCATGATCCTGAAGTTGTCTTGCTTGTAGGGAACGTACTTGATATCGTAGACAGGAATCTTGTTGTTAGTAACCATGTAGAGTTGTGGAACTGATTCTCCACAAGGTCGTAGCGGTAGGTCTGGCGCGTAGTCTTTTGGGCAAATATGTGTAGATGCTCCTGAGTCGATCAACAGGTGGTAGTATGACTTGAAGTTGGAGTACATAATGTAGTGTGTGGTAGTGCCCTCAATCTTCTTGTTCCTTTGTTGTTGTTTTGCTGCTGCTATTTCGAAGTGTAGCTATGTGGTATCTTCTTGTAAGAATTGTTAAAAGCTCTTGCTGTGGTCGTTCCATGATGTTGTGTGTGTTGTTTTCTTGCCAAGTAGTGATTTGGATTTGTGCTTGTGTAATCGCGACTTTGCTTGTCTAATGTGTCCAATGGTGAGGTGCGACTCGTTGATGCCTCCAGTTCACCTCGCGTTGTCTTTCTTCTCCTTCGTAGTACCAGTCCCAGGTGTCGTTCACATCCTGAAGTAGTTCTTCATTGTTGTCATGACCTGCTTGTTCTTGAGCGAGTGGATGCAGTTCTTTTCCTTCTCCAATGTGCCATACTGGCACTCTGCAGTCTTGTGCCCAGTGGCCAGGCTTGCCACATCGTTGGCATGTTGTGTAGTTGTTGTTTCCTTTTCCTTTTGATTTGCTGTAGTTTCCTTAGCCTTTGTAGCCTTTGCTTAATCCATATCCTTTGGATCCTGAGTAGTCTTTTCCTTTGCTCTTGTTGTATCCTCCTTTGTTGTAGTTTCCTTTGTTGCCTTTGTCGAATCCTTTGTAGTGTCCTTTACTCCTGTACTTGTCTTTGCTTTTGCTTCCCTTATAGTTGCCTTTTCCTTTTCCTTTGCCTTTGTAGTTTCTTCCTTTCCTCCATATGTTGTCAACATCCATTAGTGCAGCTCCTCCATTGTAGTTTGTTCCTACTGCTGAAGTAAATCTAGTAAAGGCTGAAATCGTCTTGTAGTAGTCCAAGATGAGTGCTCTGATCTCGATGTAGTTCGTGATCTGTCCAGCTCGCAGTTGGAGGTGTTGCTGCAGTGCTCCTTTGGTTTGTTGAGTAGTATTGCTATTTTGATTCCATCTGGTAGTGCTGTTCTATTGTCTTTCTCGTTGATGTCGTATTCTCTTACTACTGTAGCTGCTGCTCCCTGACAGATGTTGGTAAGGATGTAGTGTAGATCTCTGGAGAGGTCTACTGCTTTGCTTGCTTGTGTAGGGTCGAGTATGTGTGTTCTGATGTCTGCGTCCTCAATCTGTCGTGTAGCCACTTGTGCTAGTTGTAGCACCAGGTCGAAGTCTCGGTCCATGAGGCCGAGGTATGCTTGTAGCTTGAACAGCCATGCTTCATACTGGGAGTAGTCGCCAGTAAAGAAGGGTGGTGGCAGTTTGCATCTGTACAGTCTCTGAATGTCGTTGTCTTGTTCTGTTCCTGCTCCCGTAGTTATGGCTCCTACTGTGTCTGCTGTTGGCCCGTTCTCCGCTTCTGTAGTTTGTTGTGCTGCGGCTGATGCTGCTTCTCCTGACATGTCGTAGTAATTTGGCATGTGACTGCTATTGCTGTGGTTATAGTACTTACTACTTACTGGAGGTCCCCGATGTTTAGGATTTCAGCTCCGCTACCACGTTAAATTTAGTTGGTACTTTGCTTACAAGTGCAAGTGCTATAGTGTTCAAACAAACAATCAGCCGATGTAATCTGCAGCTGCCAACCTTTTCACTCATGCGGAGTAGTAAGCTCAAGGCCTGCGATAGTGAACATACATGCAACACAAATGCAGGAAGTAAAGCATGTAGTTTGACATCTCTATCTCTTTCTCTCTCTTTCTTTCTCTCTTTTTTTCTTCTCTCTTTCTCTATCTCTCTCTTTTTCTTTCTCTCTCTCTCTCTTTCGTTCTCTCTCTCTCTCTCTCTTTCTCTCTCTCTCTCTCTCTTTCTCCTTTTCTCTTTCCTCTCTCTCTTTTTCTCTTTCTCTTTTTCTCTTTTTTTCTCTATTTTGGTTCTCGCTTTTTCTCTTTATTTTTCTCATTGTTTCTTTCCTTTTCCCTTTTGTTTTTTTTCTCAATATTTTTTCTCTTTCCCTCTATCTCTTTCTTGTTTTTTTCCCCTTTTTTCTTCCATTTTTTCTTCCTTTGTTTTTCTCTCTCTCTTGTTTCCTTCCTCTTTAATTTTTTTGTTGGTATTGCCGTTGATGGAATCAACGGGTTATTCAATATATCAATAAATTTAATTTAATATCAAATCCAAAAACATTTCGTACCTCTTCAAACATATTTATTCATAAACACATATAAATGCATACGAATCTCGTATAACATTTCATTTTCGATTTTTGAATTATATATATATACATATATTTAGGAACCCAAAAATACGTTCGTGTATTTCTTGTAATTATTCTTAAATTGTGTTTCTTTCAGTTTGTGTGCTAAATTATAAATTTTAATCATGCCCAAATTCCCCCTAATAATAATATTCTATAACCCTAAGCCTGTTCCACCCCAACATGTCTTTAACACAACAATCCTGGTGTGAACATAGCGGTTCGTGATATACGCAAAAGTAGCGTGAAATCACCGTGAAAATACCGTGAAATTGGCGTAAAAGCCTGTTTTCCAGCATGAAAGCACGTTTTCTGCCGTGAATTTTGACACCGGATAATCTATGTGTTTCAGCCTGTCCTTTGAGAATCCCTCTGCTTGTTTTATGGGAACGGAGATCACATCTTTACACACTTTGGTCCTGAGCACGTGCGGCCCCCGAATTGTTCAATGATATCAGCTGAGCTTGGACAAAACTGCTCCTGGCAAAAAACCGCCTTTCACAGAAAACATGCAAAATAAACCGCCTTTGGAACCCCAGGGATAATATAAAACAGAAACACAAACAAAACTACATACAAAAACATCCACGAGACAACTACTATTGTATCATTCCATACCGAGCCAAAACCAACCCAAAATCAACTCGAAACCAAGCCAACGATCAGGGTTGGATGCACCATATATATATATATATACATATATATATATGTATATATATATATATATATATATTTGTATTTGATATACCATATGTCTGATTCATATTTTTGTTCAAGTGTATTCCAAAAGAGGAACCGTTGATCTAGATTCAAGAGCATACTCCCTTCAGGACACCTTTCAAAGAATCGCGGTCACGAGCACCTCTGGCATTCGGTTCGGACAGGGATCCGAGGGTGGACCACGGAGTGGCGACTCACGGAATGGGCAACCGTGAAACCCTGACTTCAAAAGTGATCCGCTTCGGCAGATTGACATCGAAATGAGATGGGATGGCGAAAGCGTTTCGCTGCGCTGTCTCTAAAAACGCGGACACGCGCAAATCCTTCCAGAGTTTGATTTCAAGAGGTGTCCTAAAATGGGCCTCCTCTTACAAGCAACATGGTGCTCTCCGGCATAAGGTGGCTACGAAAAACCCTGCGATTGGGGCCCTCTTTTAGGACTGCAAAAGGCTGACATATTCCTTCTCTCCGGCCTCAGGCAAGGAGGATACCCACGAATCTCGTGGGGGCGCGGAAAAGGCAGGCCCTGCAATTTCAGTTGGCCGCCAAATGCTTTGATGGGGGGCATTTCCTTTCCCAGGAATCCCCTAGGCTTATGACGCTTATGACCCCAGCCGCAGCATTCGGGCGGCCAAGTACCATCAAAGCCAGCTCAGAGCACGAGGACTCCATTTTCGGACTTTGATGGGATGTAAAAAAATCATGGGGCCGCCAATTCAGCAAATGGAAGCGCTCAAAAACGTTTTGTGAAAAACGGGTGGTAGAGACCCCGATCTCTTGGCTGCAATGTGAGCCACGAGATGGGCAACCTACGGATTTCCCGGGAATTGGTCTACGCTTTTGGCCGCATCTTCGCCGGCCAGTGGCAGAAGCCTACAAACCTTTCCTGGGCCGCCAAAGGGTAAAGACCTCCACGCCCACATCGAAATGGTCGAGCACCTGGCGTGCTTCGCCCAGGGCCCAAATAGGTGACACATGTAATATGGTGACAGGCACAATTCCCGCTTTGTGAGAGGATGAATGAACCAACATGAGAACTGCGTCATCTACGTTCACGCACTGCACTGTATCCTGATGTTGCCTTTGACGTGGTAGTTGCAAATTCGAGCTTCACCGACTGAGCATATGGATTTCTTGTGAAAGGAAGCTGTATGGGGAAGGTCATACTTCGCGCAGAATTCGGCCTTCCCTTTCGCCTCATTTCGCCCGTTCTCCAAGGTTTTCTCCCATGTTTTCAGACATGTTCTGCACTTTGCGGACAAAAGCAGACACAGTGCTAAACATCCTGAAGCAGCCCTTGCAGCTGTTTATGTCCCATCAGTTAAAATGCTATTTTTACCCGTAATGGCATTTGCCTCTCGAGACTTTTCGGGGCGGACCAGCGTTTCCAACAAAGGAAACGGAACCACGGAGGAAGGGGGGGATAGAAAACTGGGGCTCTGTTGAAGACCCTGAAAATCATGAACCCAAATCAAGGGACGCATGTATGTCTGCATCAATATGGGTGAATCACAATAATTATGTCGTCAAACTGTTTCCTACAAACGGAAACTGGGCACATGAGGCTGCCGCATTCTGCCGCATACGTTGAGGAAATGAACAATGTGATCGACATCCAGCAACAACAATCATCCATGATGTGTCTGTCTGAAGAGACCCCTTCGAGTGTTGCAAAGAGGAACCACCAGAAACAAAGCATCCACTTTAGGAGTTCTGCGTGGACACACGCCCCTCTTCTGGGACCCTTGACCAAGGCATTACGCGCAATTTGAAGGTTTCTGACTTTTTTTGGACCTGGCCCGCGTTCAAACCCAACTACTTGATGCATAACCTCCGACCTTCAAGCCACGTGACCTATTCCAAAGCGTCCGTTCCAGGGTTATATAAAGGTCTTACGGCCTTTACGCCCATGGCCAACGCGGGCTCTTCTGGGCGCGTTTTGCCGGACCCGTTCTTCCCTCTTTGCGAAGCAAACGAAAGGCCTGGAAGCCGAATCGCTGGTAGATGGCGGCGTTCCGGGCACCTCCTGAGAGCTTGGAGTGAACCTACTCGGATGTTCGTTTGGCCACTAGGCCCTTGAGTAGAGAGGTTAGAATAAGGGTACCATATTTTTTCTGTAGTCTATTTTAGTAGGAGAACCCTTCCCCAAAAAAAGTAAAAGGGCACTATCTGGGGACCTAGGCCAAGTTACTGGTCAGCCATTTTTATTTTATTTGTTTTCACCCGCCCACAACAAGTTTAACCCCACTGAACGAGGGACTTATAAATGGGTTATAACCTAGGTTACCGACAACTTACTAACTTGGTCACACATCCAAGTATTCACGCGACTTTCGCTGTAAACCGGTGAACAAACTCTCACCCGAATTTGAGGTAAGTGAACTATGGCAACGGAAAGCAAGGCAGGTATTTGCACCCTCTGGCAGAGGTCTGCGATGGAAGCTCTTTTCGGCAGCAACAGCGAACCTTTCTTAGGTGGACTTGTGAAACTCCTCCAGTGCCATAAGTGAATAGTTCGTTTCGCAGCCAAACAGAAGTCGTGCAAACCAGCATATCCGCCCTTTCCTTGCTTCCGATATGGGACCCGCGCTTTTCGGCTGATTTCTTTGCAATCGCCCCAAACCCCAACTCTCTCCAGCCCTGAAAGAGAAGGGTCCTGCCCAACAGATCCGCGTCGCAACTTCGGAATCCTAGTCCATCTAGACCAGCCCACCAACCATTTCGCTGAGGCCCAAGTTCCTCCCCAACGGATTTTCTGGTTAGTGAACGCCCCAAACCCCAATCTCAAAAGAAAGCACCTGAAAGTTAGAAGGCCCCTGTCTCTTCCACCGAATTCGTTACTCTTAAAAACAAAATCAAACCTGAAAGGGTCGAAGGACGTCCACCATACGCCAACCACCCGCAACCGCATATTCGCCCGCAACCGCCCGCAACCGCTCGCTCGATTCGGCTTTCGGCTGCGCTCGCTCGCGCTGATGTCCTGTCTCCAGGTAGCAGGGCAGCTGGGCCTCGTCCGCCCGGCAGCACATGGCCCGCATGAGCTGCGAGCAGAGCTTCTGGCCCTGGAGGCGCGGCTCCACCATCCTGACTCTCGGCTACTCGCAGCTTGGATTCGGCAAGGACCCCCCTGCAAACAGTTTAACCATGTTTACCTTTCTGGGGGTCCCCCCTGCAAAAAGTGTTGTTGTTGTTGTTGTTGTTGTTGTTGTTGTTGTTGTTGTTGTTGTTGTTGTTGTTGTTGTTGTTGTTGTTGTTGTTGTTGTTGTTGTTGTTTGTTGTTGTTGTTTGTTTTGGGGGGGGTTAGTGGAAAACCCCATTTGATTTCCAAGAAGAAGTCTAAAGATCCAACCCAGCAGTCAAGTGAGATCCTCTCAGGCCGTGGGTTTCTGGGAGGAGAAACGGGGCACCACTCAAGTGGTCTACCTGGGTGCGTTTTTTCGAGGTTACACTTGAGCGTTGGCTTTTATTCCCTACAAACTTGCTTGGACATTATTCAAGCTTCCGCGGACCCTTCCGCATCCTGTGGGCCAACTCATTTGTCCGAACCTGGGGGCCAACCACTTGTTGCATATATGGGTCTATCAGAACCAGTCTTCCCAATTTCTATGTGTTTTTCTCATACTGAAAGCTATGGGGTCCTCTCTCTGCCTAGCTTCGGAGTGGCTGGGAGTCTCGGAAGGCGGGCAGGTGCCAGGTGCCAGGCTTGGAGGGTCCGGCTCTGGGGATACTTCTTGGAAACAGGCTCCTTATACTCATCCGGGGGTGGTTTCCGTGGGATGAGGGACCTTCGTTTTTTTTGTTTAACCCATGTCGTGTTTGTTGGTTTTGTCTAGGTGTAAACAAGCATTCAGGCAAACATTTTCCATAGAAACCAATCCCCGTTTCGTCCCTGCCTCACTAAGCACCATAATTCGATTTTCTGGAAAATGGAGAGCGAAGTCCAGTGCCCCATGCAATCCGGCAAGGGGAGGTTCTTTCAAGCAACTTGTCCTGTAAAGGAAGTCGTTTGGTTGAGTTTCGTCTCAGCGGGGACACCCGGATCAATGGGCTCCGGGTTGCTATCATTTGCCCAAAAGGACAAGTGTGATGAACAAGATGTAGTCGACTACCAACTAGAAGAAGAATCAAAATGAAAAATCGTGCTGCGTCAAGGATCCTGCTTCCAGGATCCTTGGCATACCAAGGATCCTGCAACATGCGAAACATAACAATCCCAAGACGTGTGCTTTTGATGCACCCTGTAGATCCTTTCAAGCTGAGGCAAGCCAATGTGGGAACCAAGGGCGGCCCACTTGGGTGCAAAATCTATCAAGGCCCATGAATGCAAACTCATGTTCAGAGGAACCAAGCACGACAAACACGTCCAGTCTTATGACGCAAAATATTTGCCGCTCTGCACCGGGTGTTGGCGCACCATTTTGATGTGAGAAGTATGTGCCTTCTGATGTCGGCCCCGGACAAACAAACCAAGCGGATTGATAACAAGGGCCCACTTGGGTGCAAAATCTATCAAGGTCCATGAATGCAAACTCATGCTCAGAGGAACCAAGCACGACAAACACGTCCAGTCTTATGACGCAAAATGGTTGCCGCTCTGCACCGGGTGTGTGCCTTCTGATGTCGGCCCCGGATAAACAAACCAAGCGGATTGATAAGGTAATTAGTCGAATCATAGAGCTTCAAACTTCATTGTTTGTGGTGCATGTCTCATGTATGTTGTTTGTGTTGCTTCTGGAACCTGCGCTGCAACCGAACACTTGTTGTGCTTGCTTACCTGCCACAGAAAGACGGCTTGGTCACCTCTGTTTCATGTACCCAGCATCATAGGGTTCAGACATGCGTTCAAACCACGTCAAACTACCAGCGTTCAAAGCGTTGAAATATGGATATCCCCTAAACCAGGGGAAGGGGGGGCGTATTGGTGGTTTAGTTTCCCTTTCAAAACCAGCCGTTAACGGGGCTGCCTTTTGTCGAGGGTACCCCTTGTGGTTTTCAAGGGAAGCCAAAGGGAACCCCAAAGCCATCGATCCGGGCTCCGGATCCGAGATCGCAGGTCCCGGAGTTGAACCCCTTCGCAACTCTCAATGGATGGCATCGTGATTCGGTGTATAGATTTGTAGCCAAACAAAAATGCCCTTGCAAAACAAAGCGTATAGTATAGAAAATGAACGGTTCTTGGCGACATGTGCCTTGCCTGGGATGCACTGGGACAGTAATGCAACCTTTTAGGTGGGCAGGGGGAAGAATCCATCTGCCAAGGTTCATGAGAGGTATACTGAGATGCGGCTCCGCCGCATATTTCTCGCGTCTCCACTCGAGCTGTGAGGCCTATGGCTCAAGACTTGGTCTCACCGCTGCACAAGGTTCACCCGGGAATTCCCTGACCACCATTAAGACCATGGAGGCTAACGTAACCACCATTGTTTACCCAGGAATTTATTTAATTCGTCGAATCCATTATTTCCACTGTTCTCATGGGGGTTGAACCCTAGGATAGTCCTTGTCCAACACTTGGCCGAATGGTTTGAGCACGAATGCGGGTGATAAACCTCCATGAAACTTACTGTCTAAGCCCCTATTAATAATGGGCTGAGTGCATTTTGTTGTTTGAGGGTGTACCTGTTGGGTTTCTTTAAAAGGGAAACCCAAAGAACAGCAACTGATTTTAGTCTCTTATTTGAGACAAACCCATTATGTCCGAATAACGTCCAACAAGAAACATGAGACATCTCACAATTGCTGTTGGCATATGATGCACACATCGCAAAATTCAAACCACCTGGCTAAACGTAGAATGCTCAAAACTCTACGTGTCAAACAATCGCACGTAAAATGAGAAGACATCTTACAAATACTTGCAATGGCTCATGTCAAAACTCTGACACGTTTTCGGGAAGCGGCCTCCCCAGGGCCTTTGCCCGCCTCTCAATCAACGGGCGCGCCAAAAAAAGTGGGTTGGAAAGCAGGGAGCCAAGGATACAAGAGGAATGTACAAGGGATACGCACAAGGTGTATGCAAAACCTGCCCTTTTCTGAACGCCCCCCCTGATTCTCACTGTCGCAAAGGCAATGGATCCCAAATACAAAACTTGGGGCATGACTTGACCTGGTGGGCTGTGAGTCGGAGACTGCAACGGTTTCACGGAGTTGAGGACTTCCACCCTCGAAAAACTATCCAGAACTATGCCATTCCTTTGTGAGGCTATGGGGTTTGCCATGCATACACCATCCTGGGATAGTGCATCCAAAACCGATGCTTTTGGGGTTTGCCTCCCGGGCAACCGAGCAGCTTGAAGCTGAGACAAGCCATCGGTTCACAGCAATCCAAGTTGCGAAGGCCCATGCCAAACAACACATCCATCTATCCGGAATCTCGGGTAGAGCTCTAGTCGGACGGAACCTAGACCAGCACCCAGCAACAACTGTTACCTTTCCCGCATGTCTTGGACACATGCGAATCTCCATTTCTGGCAACTGTCTTCTTGCTTTTGAGGTGGCCAAGAAATTGCTTCCCCCTTTGGTTGTCAAGAACCAGGGGATCAAATCCGAAATCACCAATCCAAAACACCAATTCGGGTGTGACTACCCTATACATGAATAGAGAGCACTAGTTTTGCAGGTGTAGTGCTGCAAGAAAAGAAATTGCTGTTTTCTGCGTGTCCATATCTGTATACATGTATGCACCCGTAATGCTTTGTGAAGGAACCCATGCATTTTGGAGGTGCTGCGCAATGTTAGAGAAACTGGGCCCATGCAAGTGTCATACTCAAAAGCCCCACTAGACAGCTTGAAGGGAACCCGTCCCAAAACGTACTTTTCGCGAACCACAAAAAAGCCACCCATTTCCAGCCAAAGAACCCACACACATGTTTTTGAGAACCCCATTTCAATGCAACCGGCACGAGAACCTCGGCCCAGGCACCAGCCCGTTGGGCCCAAAGGCCCGCAGCAGCAGCTCCTCGGCCTCCGGGCCCCGGGGCAGGCGCCTGGCGGATTTCTCGCGGGTTTCGGCCGCGCCGAGTCGGAAGTTGCCTGAAGAGCACCAAGGACTGGAACCCAGGGCTGTGGATTTTCTTTCCGAAAGAAAAAAATAAAAAATAAAAATAAAATCAAAAAAGAACCAAAAAAAAACAAAAAACAAACAAAGAAAGAAAATAGAAAAGAAACGATTTTTAGGTCCACGTTGAGGGAATCAACTAAATGGAACCGGAGAAGACCCGATCGGCCACATGGACTGGCCATGTGGCAGCCGCTACATGCTGCTTCTGTTGGCTCACAGATGGTGCCTCTTCCAAATACGCAAAAGCAGGCTGTACGAATGAACTTTGTTTTATTGAGTGATTTGCGTGCATGCAGGTATGCATGGATGTATGCACATGTGGGCGTGTATGACTGTATCCATGAATTTATACGTGTATGTGCTCTTTCACATGCATGTGTGCTTATATCTACGATATCTATATCTATAGACAATGCATAACTACATTAGGAACATGCACCTCAGCAACACCTAGTCAAGCAAAGCTGCGGACGTAGACGTGAGCAATCCCCTTCGTTTCGCTTGGCCAGACTGAGCAGAAAAAGTGTGAAGGATTTGCCGAGGGAAACCAAAGGACGACCAAAGGACAATCCCACGGTCTAAAAGTCTAAAACGTCATTTGCCTCCAACCGTCGTGGCAGAAGGCTAGGGGCTTGCCGCCCCTAGAACACAGAATCCTATTCCCCCCCCACCCCCCAAACAAGGCAGGCCCAAACAAACAAGGCCCAATAGCTTAAGCTCAGCCTTATTTTTGGGCTTTCCACCAACGCATACCGAACCCCAAGCCCCGCCTGGCCCACTTCCTCCGCAGCAGCCACGCCGCCGCCCGGCCGCGCCAAGCCGCCAGAGATCCGTTCGCGGAGGAGGTGCCGAGGCACACCGCGGCCAAGCGGCCGCCCTCGTAGAGCTCTAGGCCGAAGCCCCCGCACAGGAGACTCTCCTGAGTACGTGGCCTCTGGTTGGCGAGGGTTTGCCAAATGGGTTTGGGGTTATAACCCGATGTATAACCACAGGTGGTCAAGTAGTAGAGATTCTGAGAATAGTTCTCTGGGTCGGGTTACTTAAACATACCCAAACAACATTTAGCCAAGCCCCGCTGGAAAGGGCTGGGGGAAGTTCAGCATCTGCAGTGGAGGGATATGCAAATAGATACACACACAATGCGGGAGGTCCAGCAAGTAGAACAAAATCAGTCCCCAATGAATATGAAGCCCAGCTCATGTCATCGATGCTTCAAGGTTGACACCAACATCATTTGGAAAAGGCCAAGCGCGGCAAAGACTTCGTTCCACTGCCTTGAGGTAGCTTGAAGCACGATGTGGAAGGCTGGAGAAGGCAACATGCGAAGGGAATGATGTAATCACCCCAATGAAGTATCGACAAACAGCTGTACTTAACGTGTGTCCATAGGTTCATTCCCTAAACACTGTTGATTCTCGATTCAGAAGCAGCAAGAAAACGTGTGCTTAGTGCTTACAACTCACTTCGCATATCTTATTTGGTGTCTCCAGGGCTTGCCATCATGCTTGTGTCACTGCGCAGTCTTTGCTGGTGCTTACGCCATGGCAGGGAGCGGGGTTGGAATTGACAAACCCAACAAACAAGAACACAGCAAGCCATGCCTTTCACTGAAAACATGAAAAACAAAACAGTTCTTTTCATTGGAGAAACATTTGACCTGACCAAGGCGAGCAAGACCTATCGCTGCCATCAAAGCAGCATCCCCAATTCAAAACATACTCTTCTTTGCCCAGAGCCCTTGTCAAGTTCCGCAAGAAAGAAATCAGTTTGCCGTATATGTGATGAATTGAAATCAATCTAACAAACTGCGATACTCACGGTGTCCACTCGTCAAAACATCTGACACATGCTCAAAACGCGATCTTCGTTCGCGCTAGGGCCTTCGCGCCCACAGACAAAATGGTTAAATTCAGCGGAGCCTCATTTAAATTTGCTTCCAGCCAAAGATGGCTTTGATCAGACAGGACAACGGGATCTCGCATTGCACTTGCAACGTAGCAAATTCACACTGCTATGCCTAGAATTAAGAAAGCATACAGCTAAATGTGTTCGGTGACAAGATCCAAAGCAACCATCTTCACTAACTTTGTGACATGGATTGTGATCCGGGGGCCATTGGAACAACGCGCGGGAGATGCCCAGATGTGCAGCTTGCAGCTTGAATGGGACCAACAGTTATGCTGAGGGCCGAAAATTGTAGACAGTCGTTGCGCCAACAAAAACCTGCAAACAAGGGAATGCAAATGCAAAGATGAAATCGTTTTGATGGACATCAGTCCTTTATCAACCCAAGTCCAACGTATAAACCTGAAGCAGTGGAGGCGTTTCCATCGAATCCCGGCCTCAAAGATCAAGATGGCCAGGAAGCGGAGTAATTCCAACCGCCTGGCGGTATGGCTCGCGATGAAGCGCCTTTCGCAGCACATTTACTAACACTCAGCCAACTCCGAAGACTCAATGCTTGAAAATGGCGCATCGCGCTGCACTCTGCGACCGGGGGGTTGCGTCCTAGCTTGTAGGAAAAAACAAAAGGTCCGCCGGAATTTCGGTCATGTGCCTTTTTCACAGGATAGCAGGCGTGACGTCCGAAGCGGTTACGCTACAAACGGCAGAGAAAGAACATCGCCCGTGTCGCGACGCGGGCCTTTAGATCTCAGCTGCGGGGAGCGTACATCTCCCAAAGGGTCAAGCAGTTAAAGCTCATATCAAGAGCCAACTTGTGTCAGCACGCTTTAACACGTTCACACGTGTGGTTTTTCTGTCTGGGTCTAAGTGTCAGTCTTATGCTCCCAGCCAATATGGAACCTGACTGGAGGTCCTTGGATTGAGGCTGACGTTTGAAGGGGTTTGGAAGACTACTGTCCTTCGAGGAAGCCCCTTGTCCACTTCCATGATTGATGGACAAGTGATGGGTAGTGGGTGAAAGGGTAGTCAAGCAGATATGGATGCGTCTTAACACAGGCCGCCCATAACTCACTTGCCCAAAGGACCTGGAAATAAAAGAAAGGTTGACCTTTTGGGGCCTCTACTAAAAGTTGACCAAAACGGACAAAAGGTGAACATCTCGGCTTCGAACAACTGAGATACACATCTCTGGCTTCCTTTGCCGCCCGAAAGGAGTCATCGCTTGTGCAGGCAGGATTCCAGAAGCCTTAGACAACCACCCTAAAGCTTGTTGCCACTCGAGCCTAAGTGTCCACACGGCAAGCTCCCCAAAACAAACAGCACGGGCTTTGTCTCAAAGTAGGGGTTCAAAATTTGCGGTCTCCCCTTTTGGATTAAGCTTGAAAAGGGCAGCGTGCCTCAAAAACGACGCGCCAAAACAGGCGTCCCCATACAACGTTTGGTGTCATTTTGGAGTTCCTTTAAATACCACGGGGTCCCTATACTTCCTGTTGCGGTTTTAAATATGACCTCTCTGGCCCATATGTGAGTTTCCCCCGGTGATGATATCTTGATGGTAAACATAGGGAACCCTCCAACCACCTACTGTAAATTGGCACGGTGTCCTTTTGGTTTCATAGGGGTCACGTCATGTGAGGGGTAGGTAAACATGGGGAACCCTCCAACCAAAATGGTCTCTCCTAAATTGGCACGGTGCCCTTTTGGTTTCATAGGGGTCACGTCATGTGAGGGGTAGGTAAACATGGGGAACCCTCCAACCAAAATGGTCTCTCCTAAATTGGCACGGTGTCCTTTTGGTTTCATAGGGGTCACGTCATGTGAGGGGTAGGTAAACATGGGGAACCCTCCAACCAAAATGGTCTCTCCTAAATTGGCACGGTGTCCTTTTGGTTTCATAGGGGTCACGTCATGTGAGGGGTAGGTAAACATGGGGAACCCTCCAACCAAAATGGTCTCTCCTAAATTGGCACGGTGTCCTTTTGGTTTCATAGGGGTCACGTCGTGTGAGGGGTAGGTAAACATGGGGAACCCTCCAACCAAAATGGTCTCTCCTAAATTGGCACGGTGTCCTGTTGGTTTCATAGGGGTCACGTCATGTGAGGGGTAGGTAAACATGGGGAACCCTCCAACCAAAATGGTTTCCCCTAAATTGGCACGGTGTCCTTTTGGTTTGGGTAGGTAAACATGGGGAACCCTCCAACCAAAATGGTCTCTCCTAAATTGGCACGGTGTCCTTTTGGTTTCATGGGGGTCACGTCATGCGAGGGGTAAGGGGTCATATACATAGGTGACCTTTTGGAAATATAGATGGGTTTCCCTGGTAAATGGATGGCATAAAACCCATCTAAAGCAGTGGAACCCATCTACTTCATTGCCCAAACTGACAAGAAACAGAGGACTCCCATGGTCACATACCAACCAGCTATCGCGGTAAGGGGTCATACACCAACCAAACGGTAGAGTCCCAAGAGTCAGTCGGTCCCATGGCTCACATACCAAACGGAGATTCGGTTGCTTTCTGCTCTGCCCAAAGTTTAACTTTCAGCGGTTTAATGTAAAACCTAGTTGGCGAAAAGTTAAAGTCCTAACATCCCTTGGCAAAACCTTTGCATAAAATGGACTCAGCTCCTTGAAACGCTCGCCTGGGATGCGCTCGATCCAAGCCCAACAAATACTCCGCCAGGGGGTCCCCTTGCTTGAGCTCGGTGCCGCACATGGCCTCCGCGAGCGCCGGAAAAAGTTGCCGGCGACAGGCCGGCTCCGGACGGGGCGACATGCGGCTTGGAGACGGGCCTTTTTTATTTTTTCCGTTTTTTCCGGCGGAGACGCCGGAAGGGGGGTGGACCTGAACGAAAAAGAGCACGTGGAATCTCGAACTCGAAACTTTCAGAAGTGTGAAGTTGAAGTTTGGCTCCTTCTCCCGGCGATGTCGGAATGACCACCGGTGCCATCGGCCTTTTGTAGTTAGTCTATGCATATGGTCAAACGTCTACACAACGAATGCTCATGCTTATGTGCGATGTACTTGGACGTCCACAAACCACTTTGGAAATGGTCCCACATTGAGTATGGGCATTTCTCCCTCGGCCTGCAGAAACAGAAGCGCCAAGGCATCGGTACGCAGCCCAATGAACAAAGGTGCAGCCTCTGCTGGTCCACATCTGCAGGAACCACAGCAAAAACAGTAAGCCTAAAACAAAGGCAAATTGCCAAGGAGCGGATGAGCCCCCTTCAACAGAACAAACACGAGTTCTCTTGGTCGGAAAGGCAGCAATCCCCAAGTATCACGAGGGCCTAGTACAGCCAAAGGCACGCTGTTGTGGGCCAGCCATAAGACAACATGGAGGTCAAAAATTAGGATCTGTCAGAAATAAGAGGTGGATCCCCAAGCAAGTGAGCTCGTTTGGTCCCCAGGTCCACCAGGTGAGCTCGCACTAAAATAGACGCCCCTTGGCAGTTGCTCAATCTGCTGCTCATTCCATTTTGGTGTTGAACAAAGAAACCCAAAACAAAATCAACCTCAGGGGACATGCAATTCAAACAAATCCGAGAAACACCCAGATCCTCAACCTCAAGTATTTGCGGTCCTCCGCGACGTGCGTTTCAACGGGGCCGCTTCCGCAAGATTCCGAAGGTGCCTTGACGCTGACCTCCAAGGCTGGCGCCCAGTCGCGGCGTAGAGGTCGGAGGCCTGGACGCCCGGGAGGCCGGGAGGCCGGGAGGCCGCAGGGCGTGAGCCACGTGAGCCACGTGAGCCACGTGAGCCACGAGGACATGGGGAGGATCTGTCGTGAGTGTCCCGGTTTCGGGAGTCCTTGTCACCTTGCCCCTCCCAAATATACTTGATGGGGAGTTTTAGTGAGCCCCTGAGTTTTGGGAGGTCATCGACTACAAAGTGCTCCACATTGCACCAGACATGTCTTGAATTTTATCTCAATCCGTGAGCGAGAGCGAGGAATCAAGCATAACTACACGCGTAATGTTCAACCCGCTTGCTAAAACCTGTTATTGTTCTTCTTCATCCTCTTCTTCTTCTTCTTCTTCTTGTCAGTGCACGACGAACGTCGTGGCAGCGAAGCATCAGCATCGCTCCGCATGCATCCGTCGCAGTCCAAATATATATATATATATATATATATGTTATGGCAAGAACTGGATTTGGACAACATAGAGGCCATGCTGGTTTTGCAAAAAGTCAAAAACCGTAAGACAGCTTTCTTCAAGCACCCCGCTGCCCCTGATTGACCATGGACTGCAGTACCCTGGGCGGCCAGACGCGCCCAGGATCCTCTTGGTATCTGTGGGTGGTTTTGTGGGTTTGTCTCAAAGGGTTCGGACCACGGAAACTGATTGGCGTCCTCAGCCTCTTGGTTTCCCTTAAAGCACCAGAAATGTTGGGCTTCCCTTCAGAACGGTCGGTGTCCTCCTTGGTTTCAGTTCTAAAACGATTTCCCTCACCGAGCCGTTTGAGGGGTAGCTTCAGCGAGGCCATTGGAAACGCTGTTTGTTGGCCGCTTTTGCAGGGAACTCCCCCTAAAAGAGAGAGAGAGACAGGACAACCTCAGCCGTCTGGTTCTTGAGGGATCAGAGGGTAAGCTTCCGTGACGCAGCTGGAACTTGCGGACCATGATCTTCCCAAGAAGTTGCAGGACTCCAATAATTGTCTCAAAGTTTGAGTCAGGAGCCAAGATATACATATATTTTGTATATATGTATATCCTCCCCCCCAACATTGCTATACCATTCTGCTCCCCACGAAGACCTCTCACTGCCCTCCGGTGAATCGCGCTTCGATCGCTCGCGCGCCTTCGGGCTCCGTGAAACCACCGCCCTGGCGGCCCTTCGGCAACGCCGCCCCCATGGTCGCAGCCGCGCGGACGCGTCAGGAGCCCATGGCAACGCGTCTTTTTTCTGTTGCCCCCAAGCCCAAAGCGGTTTGAGCACTCTGCAACAATCGAAACTGAGACTGGCAATTGGAGAACTGGGAAGTGAGCTTAGTTCAATGCTGTATCTTGCTTCTTGCTCCAACTGAACATAGACCTGGTTTAAATCTTAAAAATGTCCTGCATTCTGAGTTCATGGCGCTAGCTGCCTTTTAGGCAAGCGCTCTGAGCCTTGAGGCCTTGAGCGGACGCTGACTGGAGATCTGCGGGGCGCAATTTGTGCCAGGCGCAGGGCCAAGTGATGGTGCGTGCGTGCGTGCGGTGGTGTGTGTTGTGTGTGGTGTGGGGTGACGTGTGGTGTGTGGTGTTGAGTTGTGTGTTGTGTGTGTCTGTGCGTCTGGGTTTGTTTGCAGATGTCGCTGTTTCTAACTGCCCCCATCATAGTTCAGCTTCTGCTCATCACTTCGCACCGCACAAATGAGTTATATAGGTCTAGAAAGCTGCAATACGTGGACGCCCCCAAGAAGGTAGCCTCATGCCCAGTGACTTGGCTGGAAGTGGCACATAAGGAACCCGGGCTCCGTGTCTATTGCCTTGGAACTGCGGCATTCACGGCTTGGAAGCTCCGTCCAGTCATATAAGTCACGTCAAAATGACGCGGCTTCCACAAGACATGAGCAAAAAAGGGAGTTGGTGAGTCCCCACATTGACCATAATTGAGTCCTCTGGCTTCCTGGGAAGTTTGGCGAGCGCCCAAATGGACCATAGTCTGGACACTTTGGCCGAACCTCATATCATCCACGAAGTAAGCTAGTCAAAGCATAAAATGTATCCTACCTCCAGGCTCCATGTAGGTGTAAAGATTCTGGTTCTTGTGGATGCTCACCATATGGCCCATCAAGTAATGCGAAAGACAACCAGAAGCTGATTGGCCAATACAAGTCTATGTTTGTTGTTTTCTATCTTCCCGACAAGTTACAAATCCAGCAACTTGAGAAGTAAGAAAAAGAACTGGATGCTACACAAGGGCTCCAAACAAAACAACAACAAACACACATGCCCCCTTGTGGTTTCGCTTTGAAACATTCTGGCTGCCACGATCGCACGAGAAATCGCCCGCGGACCGACCCCTCTCTGGGTTTGTCTCCAAATGGGGGAGACCCAAAGCTGGTGAGTTCCTCTTGGATTCCCTTCAAGAAGCACCAAAAACATCATGTCCCACAAAGAGACATACCCACCCACCCATTCCTATCCCATTTCGAGACATACCCCCCCCCCCCCCACCAACCCCTCAGGGGAACTTTCGGGTCCTCGGCGGTTCGCAACCGGCTTCGGCGGGCTTGTTTGGGCTTCCTCCCAGCGCTCCCGGGGGCCCCAGGCGCGCTGCGCCAAGCGCTGCGCACGCTGCAGGCCCTGAAGCAGGTCGACGTGCAGCTCTTTTTCTCAAGGAGAAAATGGGAACCTCGAACCAAAAAGGGGGACAGGAATCTGAACAACAAAAAGAGGGACAGGAATCTGAACAACAAAAAGAGGGACAGGAATCTGAACAAGAAAAGGAGGAATGAATCGACCTCAAAACAAATTCAATTCCATGAAGCTGATGGGATGGATAGTTTCAAAAAGGAGGTTGGCCTGGTGCAAGAGACACCGTTCCAAAAACGAGGGGGCAACCCCGAAACTCATTCGTCGCCCATGGGCCTCGGCTGATGGGGCGGGATCACGAGAAAAGCAACAGCTGAAAGCTGGCATCCTGGAACAGGTCAAACCTTGTTGGGGGGTAACTCGTTGAAACCCATTGGACTTGACCCCAAGGATACCACCGAAGCAAGGACACCAGCTGGAAAGACATCGATTAAGCAGTCCAACCATGTGGTTGATCTGGTTCACAAGCAAGTGGTCAATTAAGCGGAGCCCAGAACCGGATGACTTTGGGCTCTACTGGCTCCAGCTTACGCGAAAGCTTCAGCGGGTCTTGCGCGACCACACGTTTTGCTTTCGCGCGTATTGTCCTCCAACAAACGAAGCGCTTATGCAGCGATTAAGCGACTGAGGGCACGGTTTTCGAATGGCTGCTTCAGCAACAACAAAGCTGCCGAGATTCCGCGGGGCTTCCGCAGCGCAAGTTTTCACAACAAACCTTACGCGAGCGCACGCGACCCACATGCTCGCCGACACGGAAGCATGGCCAGAAACGTGTCTAAACACATTCACATTAGGTGTTTTGGCCCTGCTCAATTGGAAATGCGTGAAAACAGTATGACTCACACATATCACCTCCATTCTGCAAGTTCCCCGGTAAGCCTGCTTCATCAAGCACCTGTGAGCATATATTCATAGTTTGTCGTCGTCCGTCTTAAGTCCGGCATTCTACAAACTAACGATGTCTGTGTGTGTGTGTGTGTGTGTGTGTGTGTGTGTGTGTGTGTGTGTGTGTGTGTGTGTGTGTGTGTGTGTGTGTGTGTGTGTGTGTGTGTGTGTGTCCGCCTTTTGGCTCAGTGGCCAAAACTCCATGGTGGCTGCTGGATACTTTCTGAAGCTGGGATTTGGGGTTGGAACCGCGGGAAACTGCATCCTCCCTCCGTTTCAATCATGAATCATCATGAAACTTGACAAGGAGGCACTTGCAAAAATACTGTCATCCTAATTTTGTTTTCTGGCGCAGGAACCGAGGTTCCGGCAGCCCCAGCCAACACAACAGCAGTCACCCCCGGGGAAGGGTTCCCTTAGTTACGCGAACAACAGGAGGAAACATGGGCTAGAAGAGGTCCGAGTGTCATGGAATGTTACAAGCGCCAACGCAAGGAGGGACCCTACTGAGCAAGGAGAGCGCAACCTCAGTGTTTCCATTGGTATGTGCTAAATTGATATGTTTTATCGGCCTACGCGTGCCAGAATTGGCGGCGCGAGGCCAAGTCACGGACTGGACGGTAGACGGCCGCATTATTCCTCCAACTGAACACGGTTTGCCCGTGGGTCTCCTGGACCTCGGCCACTGTTGGCCAGCGGTAAAAGGTGGTCGATACGAGAGGGGCTGGGAACGTCAAACGAGGAACGAAGGCACTGGAGTCTCCTGTGGGCCTCAGTCACTGCAGCTCGCCCAATGGGCTCGCGGCCGGCCAGCTCGCAGCTGGCTCGGTCGCAGGAAGCGGTAAGCATGGGAGGGCATAAAACAAGCCAAGTGTTCCAACGAGCCCTCGTGACGGAGGATGTGGCCAAGCTGAGACGGGGAGCACACGTCTCTACCAAATGAATTGGCTCGCTCTTGCAGAAAAATATTTGAGCAAGGATCCTGCGAGGGGTGGAGAACCCTGTGGTAGTAGGACGATTTGATCCCCAAAATCTGGCGAAGGATGCGAAAATGTAGAGAGTCCATTCGCCCAGCCTGCGACGGTGTCAGAGCAGCCGACTCTGACGAATAGAGCAAGATGGACTGCGCCACGGAAGCGTAGACCTGCAGCCTGAAGCCGGAAATGCCCTGGCAGCGGAAGAACGGGGAGAGAAGCGACCAGGCGGCCCTTGCCTTAGCCAGCCTGTCTTGCACGAAAGAGGCCGAGCCTCCTTGTGGACACCAAGATACTTATACTGCGTGACGGCTGTGAGTTGTTCTCCTGGCGGGTCCGTACCCCCGCAATACGTGCGCCTGCACCTCTCCAAGCGATTGCCCGAGCGGAAAAATACTGGTTCGGACAAGAGCCAGATGCTCACATTTGGACAGGTTCAGCTCGAGACCGAAGCGAACAGCGTGTCGCTGGATTCCGTGCAGCAGACGGTTGGCGAGGGAAGCGGCATTGGTCATGATGGCCGTGTCATCCGCAAACTCCAAGTCCCATAAGGGAAAAGGCTGAGTAAGGACACCGGCGATTTCACCGAAGCACGCTGCGTGTTCTTCTTTGACGGCGTCAAAAAGCACTGCCATGACGACTGCAAACAAGTAAGGCGAAAGCGGGCACCCCTGTCGAACCCCTCGTTTCTGCGGACGCAGGGATGATTCCTCTCCCCATTCCAACACAGCGAAAGTTGGAGATGCGTAGAGTGCCATAACGGCCTTGACTAACGGCTCAGGCACTCCCAAGGAGAACAAGGCGTGCTCAATGGATTTGTGAGTGACAGTGTCAAATGCCTTTCTCCAAGTTAAAAATACAATGTGCAGTAAGGCCGCGTGCCGTTCATGCGCTTCGAGTAGCCGCCAACTAACGTGGAGAGGCTGCGAAACCGAGCGAGACGCGCGAAACCCAAACTGAGTACGCCGGAGCCTTTGCTCCACGACTTGTTCCAAGCGGGACTTCAACATACTGGCGAAGAGCTTGTGCCCTACATTGGTAAGGGCTATTGGGCGGTAATTATCAACGTCCGTGGGGTCTCCTTTCAGAGACTTCTGTAGCACCGCCACATGCGCGTGAGCCCAAGCCTCTGGTATCTCAGCCCCGCTGAAGCAGTTTTGCATAAGAAGGAGCAAGCACAAGCGAAAACAATGAGGGGAGGCGCGGCACATTTCGCTGGTGAGGTGCTTTCCGGATCTTCAACCGTCGAATCGCCTTTGTCAGCTCTTTGAGGCTTTTGAAGCTGAACGGCTGACACTGCTGGACAGCCCCGGGGTCGTGGGGCATGCCATTCCACAGGGAGGCCTGGCGATTCCAGATATTCTCTGACAGGTGCGTGGCAAACACCTCAGCCCTTTCCTGGAGCGGTACCACACGACCACCGAGTCGTAGGTTTACGGGTTTAGGAGAAAACGGTTTGCGGAGACGCTTCAAGGCGACCCATTTTTGAGCAGGCCCGCCGCGCGAGTCCTCGATCAGGAGCGCCTGGTAGTGCGTCTGTTTGTCCTGCTTTGCCTGTTTCTTGAGGAGCTTCCGGACCAATCTCCGCTCGTCCTCTTGGTGAGGCTGACGAAGCTTCTGTAGACACTCAAGAGTACGGGCCGTACGCGCAGTGAGGTATGCGCGGCGGACGTTTTCAGGCAGGGAAAGCTTGGCTGCCTCGGAGAGCGTGTTGGAGAGAGCGCCAGCCTGGTCATCCAGGCTCTTAGCGCTGAAAACGCTGCCTGGAAAGATGCTGTAGAGGGGAGACTGGGCGGCTTGCGTATCTTCCCACATGCAGGACACCCCAAGAGCCGCAAGCCTGTCTGCTCTGTCGCTCCCAGGCACGCCAGTGTGGCCCTGGACCTTTCTGACTTGCGCCCACCGAGACGAGAGCGCCGCTTCCCAGTACTGCAAGAGGAGATCTACCAAATTACTGCAGCGACTCTCCGTTGAGTGGGGCCATTGCGTATGCAGAGTCTGTAAAGATCACCAAGCCTTCCTCCTGCCAAGGAGCATGATTGAGAACCCAGTCGAATACTTCAATAAGCGCTTTGACTTCATCGGTGTTGTTAGAGCCTATCAACGCGGGTCGTCAGGTTGGGCGCTGAGCCTGCCGTAAGAGTCAAAGTTGTCGCTGAGGTCCAGACCAAGCGTGCCTTGGACAGGAGAAGTCACTGTGAAGCCCCAACCGGCAGGGTTGTTGGGCAGGGGGTGAGGTTATTCGGCATCTGCCATCAGTGAAAGCAACATGAGGTCTGCACCATTCCTGTTGGGCAAGGCCCAACTTGGAACCCAAGACAGTTTGGGCGTGATGGCGGAAACCCGACAGATTCTCAGTGTAGTCGTATCGCACTGGGCGAGCGCTCGCTGTCTGGCGGGAGGGTTTGAGGACACTACGCAGCCTAGCCTCAATCGCGTGGCCAGGGAAATTTCCGGCCAGCTTTTCACGCTTGTCCTCCTCCATGATGCCTTGGGCGAAGTCAAAGCGCTCTTTGGGTGGACCGAAGGTCGTGAGAGGTCTGGGATTCCAGCAGTTAACGGCGAAAGTTATAGGATCCACGTCGCCCCACTCAGCGTGCGCCAGCTCCTCGTTCGTAGCTGTGGCAGCCGAGACTGTGGAGCTTGGCGCTGCTCTTTTGCGGCAATCTTGACCTGCTCCTGTATGAGACTGGAGGGCTTGGATCTGTGCCTTTGGGACAAGTATCACACTTCCATCTTCCAGTGTCGCTGGGGGTGCCGTGATCTTGGGAGCTGACTCCTTGTTGGGAGACGCTGTTCCATCGGCATGTGTAGTTCCATCTGTATGTTTCTCTGTGTCTTCCGACTCCATCCTATCAACGTTAGAAAAAGAATCTGGTGTCTACTAAGGACCTGGACCTGCTTGAGCCTCATGGTGCTTGAAAGTTCAAGCCAACTATCGTTTTTTGGGGGGCCCTATCGTTTTACTGCGGCTTTGCGCGGCCACCTTCCAAACTTTGTTTAGCCGAGTCGCGCTCCAGGGGAAGCCGGCCCTCGCAGGCGCAGCAACTGGTGCTGCTGGCGCAGCTGGTGCAGGTGCGGCGGGGGGAGCCACGTCCGCCTGCCACCCGCTGGACAGTGAGCTGATCGGGGGCCCGCCGAACACCGTCCACTCCATGCCTCTTTGGCTGACGGGTGTGGCAATGGGCGGTGCCGTGGCAACCTACTTGGTGGGCAGCGGCGGCTTGCAGATGTGGTCCGTACGGCAGGAGATTCAGGGGCGACTGCCTCGTGTCGCAGCAGCCCTCCACGGAGCCCAGGTCCGGCAGCTCTCCCTCCACGGGCTTGATGCCGCACAGGATCGGCAGCGGGAAGGGAGCGTTGGCCAGCCCGTTGCGTCGGCAGCGCAACGCACCACGCCGACGTGCGTGGCGTCCTTCTTGGACGTTTGCGCCTTGAAGACGAGCGGAGGCAGCTTGGGGCTAGCCAATTTGGCTTGAGCCAAAATGGCTACGGAGGTGCAAACTAAAATGAACCAACCTGGAGCCTCTGTTTCTCATGATTGCCCGATATCAACACTGAATGCAGTTAAACATGTCCTTCTGATGGTTGTCTTTCAATCTTTGTCCGATACTTTGGGCATGCGTTCGAAATATCAAGGCCATGCCAAAAGGCCAGGCAGAGTTATGGGAACATGCATGTGTCCAAGTAGATGTTTCAGAGATGTTGGAATGCATGCATTAACGCCCCGTGTTGATCAGTGACATTTCGGGCAAATCGTGAATAAGCTAGCAGCTGATCCTGGGATCCGGCATGGCATGCTTTGATAACCAGAGGTAAAACGGACCCATTTGAGTCTGTATTTTCTTGGGGTACTTACCGGTTGGCAAAAAACACACCTACATGAACGTCACAGTTTTCTGGGGTTCCCCTCCCCAATTTTGAGACATACGGGGTACCTTCATCATGATTAGACGGCTCAGTTATAGAATGTATATTCGATTGTTTGCTTCCCTTTGAGTCACTGGTAAAATGTAAGATGTATCCTAAGTCTACCCCAGTCAAACAAAGACACGCCAGGCCCATACTCCTTTCGACCGATCTCAGTAGGGTCTAAGCTGACGCCCCACTCAAGCCTTTTCGTCGGCCGCGCCAGCGGCCGGCAAGAAAAGCAGCGGCAGCAGGGATGTGACCACCTGGACGTTCAGAGAGTTGCCGATCAACGCGCAGCGGTCCTGCGGATTTGCCGACGAGGAATGGACCAAGCAGAACAGGTTCAAACTCCTTGTTCGGGGGGGGGGGGGGTCGGATGGTTCTGGCTCCCTGGGAAAACTCAAAGGCCCCTCCTCCAAACATCGACCCGGGATTCATCAACATGGTGGATGCAAAAAGCGAGCGCTCCCCCCCCCTACGCCCCAAAAAAGAAAGAAGGCCTCCCTCTCAAATGGGCAAAGTCGCATTGATCAACCAGAGGTTGTTTTCTCCTGGGTTCCCATTGGTCAATGACTACGACTCCTCAAGCCCGTCTGAAAGCGGGCCAAAGTTACACATCACTCATCTCACCGTTGAGAAAGGCTTTTTTATTAAGCATTTTTTCCTTTGCAGGGCAGAAAGCTGGAGAGCACCGCATCGGGATGCTGTGTCTACCTAGTACCACTTTGCTGGTGGTCGATCCCCAACCTTCTGTTTGAGCCATGTTTTGTGTACAACCAGAATTCCCTAGCTTGACAGTGCACGAAAAGAACGCTCCCTGGAAAAAGCAAGAAGCAGGTTTGCTTTGGCCAGTTGAGTCCATCGGCAAGTTGCACACATCTTACAGAGGGGCTCCTTGATCTTCTGTCTGCATGTCCAGACTGTCATCCTCACATTCAGCCGGGTAATAAGACAACCAATTCACATGTCTGTTCCAGCTGCAAACGATCATAAACACACGGCACTCTTACCGCGAAACAGGATTTTCAGGAACTCATACCGACCAACCGCCAATCAACCAAGCAGCAAACCGGGCCACACCTCGCGGAAACTCGCAGATGCATATCCCTGGCGCATTCCGAAAGCAAGCGGCGTATTGAAACCAAGCTTCCCTTTGCTTAGGTCCCCTGGAAAACATGAGAACATATTTCCAGTAGTGAAATCGCTTCCCTTATTAAAGCCCACCGGGGAAAATCGAACAGAAGATATTCATTTCACCATTTTCACCCAATGAACAACCAAGCCAACTGCACCGATCGCAGCCCGTATCCCCCCGGGTGGGCTCCTTAAAGCCCAGGCTGGATGGGAAGCTGTAGCTCTCCGGGAATCCCAGGAGCCTCAGCTGCTCCACCGGCGACAGGTAGCCTCGGACGCCCGGTTCGCGTCTCGGCCCCGTCTTCGTCTCGGCTGGGGCGCTCTCGGCGCGGCACGGCGCCCGTTTCTTTCGCGGGCGGACCAAGGGAGGTGGAAATCGACGCGACCATCCGGAGAGGAACCTCAAGCTCAATATGGCCATGGGTAAAATGGGTGGTGAATTCACCTACCCCAAAATGGTACCATTGGTGTTGACCCACAGCCATACTTCCGGCGCCTTCGGAGAATATGAAGTTGCGATTGTACATGTTGTGTCTTTTGCGTTTGAGAGTAAGAGTGGCTGCTTTGGAGGTGTTTGGAAATTTCCAGTGCGGGCCAGGCAGGGCTAAGGGGCTAGACTACTAGAGTCACGCCAACACATCCCGGCCCAAAGCATGCCGTGGCGTGCCATGATGATGGCGGTCAAATGCTTCAAACAAAGCGGCTTTGCATGATGAACATTGGTTCCGACCAGGCATCTCATTGTATTTGGAATTGAAAGGAACACATGAGATACCTGGGCTGTCCTCAGATCCCTTGCCAAAAGTTCACCCTCTGTGGTAAATGGAAACTCCACTATACCCCCGAAAACCTAAAACGCCTAAAAGTGGGAGGGGGGGTTGGGAACCGCCAAGAAAAAACAGTGCAAATGACACCTCCTCCGCCTCGGCAACGGCAGGCGCCTTCCAATAGAGGGGGCCTTTGCATATTTTTTTTCATGCTCAAAGGGTTTGATTCCAGGAAGCTCTACAGGACATGGCCCCAAAACACCCTGAATGAGTTGGTGTCCCTGAAGCTTCTCCTGCAACCCAACGCCGTGTCATTCGCGAATGCCCTTTAAAAGGGAAACCAAAAGGAACGCCGAAGTCCAACCAACGGGGGGAAAGGAAAGGATTGTTTTTTGAGGGGGAGGAGGAACCTAAAGGACGCCACCATTTGAAGACCAGTGGGCCTCGTCTTTTTTGGGTCCAGGCGCGGACCCGCAGGTCCTCGCGCCAGAGGTGGTCCGTGGCGCTGCCGGCGCCCTCCCCCTGCGCCGAGAGCTTGGGGCGCTGCTCCAGCGAGGCGGCGTCCGACTGCGGCCGGCGGCTTCGGGGCTTCGGGGGGCGGGGGTGGGGTGTGCCATGGGGGGTGTGCCATGGGGGGGTGGGGGGGCAGCGGGGAGGTGCCATGGACACTTGGAATGTTTTGCAGCCAACCCTGAAAACCGGTACCCCCTTACGAAATGGACCCTCAGGGTGGATGAGCGGAAGCCAACTTGGCTGGGCCCCCTTTTTGTGCCCTGCTCTCCGTACTTTCTAAGAGGTCACAAGAGCCGTTCATGCGAGGACCCAAAAGCCATTTGGCCATGCAGCGGCCATGGTTCTCTATGCCTATACATCCCTACTCAAAGAGTCATTTGTACCAGAAATCATTGCTAACATATTGTGGGCATGAGACTGTCATACTGCAGTCTGTGGTATATCAGCGTGTCGTTTTTTGGAGCCGGGGGGGGGAACTTTTTGTGGTGTTAAAGGAAAACTGCTGGGAAGCCAGCAGTTTTGGTGGGTTCCTTAGGAGACACACCAGAATCATGGATAGCGCATCATGCAATTAGATCATTGTCATCCATTCCGCTGTGAAGCTCATTGCTTCCCCGGATTTAGCCTGACACGCAGCAAGGCAGTTCCTCTGGTTGCCATCCTTTACCGCAGGAAGTCGGGGCCGGACTTGGGATCTCAAGAAAAGGAGCCTAATCATTGGCCCCAAGATTGTAGATGGGGTCGCAATGCAATGTAACTTTCGCTATGTACACATTGCCCCCCTGGTTTCACTTTGGTTTCTAAAGAGCCATCCATCAAATCCAGTCACCCAGTTTGAACATCTTAGTTCGAACCAAGGGTTTGGGTTTGCAGCCTTACCCCCTGAAAACAACCACAATGGTTCTCAAATGCGCCCCCCCCCTCCCCCTCATGTCTCTTAACGCATTTATTTGACAGCCGCTGGAGGCTGCTGGTACAGCCGCAGGCCGCGCAACAAACATCCCTCAAGCACCCGCAACATACCCCCACACACCCCAACATAATACCTTTCATACCCCCCCAGCCCCACCCACCCTTTGCCTCATCCACCAGCACCAGTGGGGAGTGCCCAAAGGGCAGACGCCCATTGGCCTTGGTGAGGCAGGCGCTGCACCGGTCGCAGCGCCGGTGGAGGTCGTACCGCTGGTCCTGGAGTCGAAACCAACTCTGGGGGCGGATTCGAAGGAAACCAACTGGTGGGCGGGCTGGCTGGCTGGCTGGCTGGCTGGCTGGCTGGCTGGCTGCTGGCCGATTGGCCACCAATTACGGGACAGGTGAATGTGGGTGTCTTTATTGAGAGTAGTTTTATGGAGGGATTCTGAGAACAATGTGGGGTAGGGTGACCCGGGTTCCTACTATCCTTGACATGCGACATTGGATCGCTCATCAAATGAGCTACGGGGAGAAACACTCAATACTACTGGAAATGCTCGAACCACATGTGAGCATGTGCGGAACTCTCCATATCCCTCAAAATGTTTGAGCGTCAGCAGTTCATTGCGGGTTGAAGGACGGAGCGAGGTCAAAATCAAACCAAGCTGTGCAGATCGCAACGAAGAAGCACAAACGAAAAGCACCAAGTGGACGCCGGTCAGCCCCATCCAATCAGGCCAAATCTCAACAGGCTGATTACACACATACCGTGCATGGATCAACTCCTGCACCAGGTGATCACAGGGCTTCATCCATCAACTGGTGCAGAATGTCGTCCACTCACAGTAGTACCTGGAAACTGGTGGGGACCATTGAATATGGATACCCCCCGAATTCCCAAAACCCAAAGGGGCTCTGTTCGCTCATAAGGGCACACCATGGCTCAACATAACAAGGCTAAGACCCCATTCCTGTTGCTGGCTGACGGGAACACAATGGGCAACCAAAGGGCAAACACGATCAAGCCTAGGCAAGCCCAGGCAAGCCTAGTCATGCAAGAACAACACGCATCCATGTTTCTTCCGGGCAACGTGGAGCAAGGTCAAAGAGCAGACTTGATTCAACTCCTCAGCATGTCTCGCAACAGCTGCTCGCAAAGTTTGCAAAGCATTCCATGGCACAAGTCAGGGAGATAAGGACACATGACAAGCAAGTGCTCGAACCAAAGGACAGGGCGGTTGCCTCCTGTATGGAAGGTGGCGCACATTGGCGCACACTTGCACCTCAACTTCCCCAACCTTCCCCCCCCCCCCCCAACTTCCTCAACCCACAAGCCACGAAACAAGAAACACCCCCCCCCCTCCGTCGACAAAAAAAGATCGGCGCGAGGTCTCTCTCTCCTTCTGCTGGCGGGTTCGCATCACCTCCTGCGGCACCTCCAAAGACCCCAAGATCGCCTCCTCCTGTGCTAAGGCCGCAGCATCCTGACGAGGTAGCCTCCCCCAAATTGGTGAACATAAACGGGGTTCCGCGAGTGGTTTGGATATAAGCGGGGCTACAAACCAGCTGGTCTTCGGGCCCTGCAACAAGTTTCACTTCTGCTAGCTTATGGGGAAACAGGACCATCTTCCAACTTGTTGAAAGAAAAAGATAACAATGACACCAAAACACGGTGGTCCTTTCGACCCCTGCTGTGGCTGTGCGACCAGTTTGGTTTGGCACACATGTTTGAAGAATCAGAGAGCAATCATGTCGGTTGGGATTTCTTGTTTCTGGAAAGTGGAAGCCTTGGGTAACCCATGGGGCTTCTTAGGGCCCTTTGGCAATGGATTTCAAGCAGCTCCTTGGTTCCAATGTCCATGTCTGGCCGCGACTTTCCCAGTGCTTCCAGGCAAGCCACTATAGGAAACCAGGTATGGCTGCCTCTAGGTTTTACATCAAGGTCACCCCCCCCCCACCCTGTAATAGGTGATCAGGTGCTTCTACCTCTAAGCTTTACATCAACGTTCCCCCCCGTCCCCGGTTGCCTAGAGCGGTAACTGGAAGCACTGGGTTTGACTTCCAGACCCTTCCTGCAGGAAGTCCCCCAGCTCCGCTGGCTCGACAGCTCGCCAGCCCTGCAAGAAGGGCTCCCCCTGAGCGGCGAGGCGCCGAAGGAAACCGTTGGCCATGGGGAGGAAAACCACCTCCGTTCGCTGGGGCGTCCTGGGTTTATAGCTTAGCCCTACTTGTAACACACATCTTTGTTCACTTCCTGCATGAATTGGCCCAAAGTCCAAACTGCTTGTTTGCCACGTGAACGGTCTTCCCTCAAAGCTTTTAAGACTCGGGAAGTCAGCAAAGGCATGAAACGGCTTCCGCCGTTGCGCGACTTGCTCCTTTCAGGTTTCTGTTGTCCGTGCCCTTTCACTCCAAATGGAATCCAAAGTTCCACCATTCACATCACACACTGTGTATTTTTGTTGTTGTTGTTGTTGTCTTAAATGTCATTCTTGGTCAACAGCTGAGATTATACCCATATTACTACTTCATGTTCACATGTCATCCTGTTCATATTGGTTTTCCAATATCTATACTATTTATGGTAAACTTTAGAATGAATCTTGGACCCTCCTATATTTTATGATCGAGAATTGTATTATTGTGGCACATAACCTTACATATGTCCCACATGTTTTGGTTGTACCTCTCCAAATGTTGCCGGCTGCTGCTGACACCGCCGCTTGACTTTCCCAGCGTTCATCCCTTCTTCCTAATGAACGTCCCCTAATGAAACATAGTTTCCACAAGTCGCGTAGATTAAATTCTTAAATGTAGAACGGATAAATTCTAAGCCACGCCTAAACTCATCATTTCTGCCAAGGCATTCTGCAAAATGGTTGGTGTCCTTTTGGTTTCCCTTCAAAATCCTTCAAAATACCCACCAAGAGGGGTCCATCATTTTGAGAACCTCCCAGCTACTTGCTCGACTGACCCAGTGGTTTGGGAAGCAAGGTTCTCTACGACCTCGGGGATGCGTTATCTCGGGCTTCCATTTCTCATTCCCATCTCTCGCACCGATGGCAAGGTCTGGCGGAGCTCCCGGTCGTTTCTGCCCGGCGGCGTCTCGGTTTTTGTTTCCTCCCAGGCCTCCAAGGCGTGGGCCACCGGCAGCCACGCGCAGCCCGGCGCCGTTTCTGGGCGCTGGGAGGCCGAGCGGAAGAGGCCGTAGTACCGGGGCCGCCGGTTTGGAAGGCCTGGGCGCGGTCGCCAACATTTGCCTGTTTGCTTCCCTTTGCACACCAAGCAGAAGGTGGGTTCCCAAGAAGACACAAATGCACCACTCTTGAGGGGCCAGATAAGACGTCGTCCAAGGTTTTTGTTTGCCAGCGGTCCACTTACCAAGCCTAACGAGGCTACCTGCCTCGGATTAAATAAGAGATCGCATGAGTCAGCTTTACACACACACACACATTTCCGGACCCAAACGGACACCCCAAGCAAATAGGCAACTGGCTGCTGCTGCGTGAGGAATGTGGGGCTGCTCGTAAGTCTTGAAACTAATGGCCTACCTGCACATCTCAACACATGGCCTCTTGGGAAAATCCGGGAATCCCAAAGTTGAACAACTCCAGTTGCGGCACCCAGGTGTATAACAGGAGCTTACCTACATAGCGACGAATCAAGGGGCACACAGCTTTTTTACCCTTTGCCATTGGTTTTACAATTTTCCCCCTTTGGGCCTTTCCCCTCAGATTGCCTCAGTTTTGTGGCTCTCAATTATACATGTCATGGTGTGAAGTTTTGGAGGACTCGCCTTGGGGATTGAACTCCATGAAGTCAGGGTACCGAGCAAATGGCGCCAGTTTTCTCCTTTCTTTGGCCAGGCTCCGGGGTACAAAGAGCGCTAAAGCTCTGCTTCACCAAAGGCGCCATCTTTGAAAGACAAAACATATTGCTTCAGAGACCCATACTGAGTCATCTTGAACACATCATGTTCTGAGGAGCTAGGATACACCGCGCTGGCATTAGGTCACCTGGCCTATTGACACATGTCACGACCGTGCCCAGCAAATAAACCATGTTTCTGGGGCCATGCGGGTATGGGTCAACATTCAGCCACCAGGGGATCGCAGGTTTGAGTCCTTGGTTCCATTTACTGGGGTCTCCATTTGCCTATTTTTGACCCACAGCCATGTCAGGGAGACCTCACTGGCTCGGTTTGTTTCTTCCTTTCTCGTCCGCTTTCGCCGCTTTCTCCGTGCGCGGCGCCGAAGTCCTCGGGGTCCAAGGCGAACTCCGCCACCTCGAAGTCGGGCAACGCCGCCAGCAGCCGCTGGCGGCACACGGACCGCTCCTCAGAGTTTCTTTGTGAACGAAGAGCGCGCTCGAAGCGCACCGTTCCACCACAAAAGGGTCGGGGAAATATTATTTGTTTTGTGTGTTGTTTGTGTTTGCGCGTGTGTTCACATAGGGGAACCCCCAACATGGAATTCGGCTTCCTTGGTCCCTTCAAACCAAGGTGACCCGTTTGGTTACCTTGCCAGTTCTTAGAGAAGCTGGAACGCAGAACTGAACCATGCCTTGGTTCCATGTAGCGAACCCCAGGTTCATTCCCACCCGTTGCCTGAGAACCAGCAAGATAAAGGGGGTTTGTTTGCCAGTGTGTGTGTGTGTGCGTGTCAAAATAGGGGTGGGCATTTGATTGCAAACCTGGGGTTGTCTCAAAAGAAGACAACACCCAGTGTTTTCCTGGTGTCTTCCCCTCAAGGGGGTTCCCTACAAAAGACACACCCATGATAGTCTTGACGGTTCGATAGGCAGGGAATAAGTTGAAAAGATTCAGAACAGCAGCATACCTGGTTGTCTATAGGAAACGGCCAGGTTCATTCCCACCTTTGGGAGACACATGGGGCTGGCTTGATACCTTTTTACCAGATTGAGTCGGCGAAGGGTTGGGCGATTCAACCTAAACATGCTCACACACCTGTTGGCTACAACCTCCTGCCACCCCCTTCTCCGGGGCCGGGCTCTGCTTGTGTTTTTGGAGGGTGCTAGGAAGCGGTTGCTCCGAAATCCCTGGCATTTGCTAGAGAAATGGTAAAAAAGAAAACCGAAAGAAAGATATCCAAATGTCTACCCTGGCGATTTGGAGTCAGTTCGAGGCTGAACGCCGAACTCAATCCCCTCCGTACACTGACCCCAGAGTAGCAAACCTGCGGGATCCTCGCTCAAATGAGACAACCCCTTCTAATCAATCCAGCCATGTTTGTTGCTTTGATCAAAGTCACTCTCTAGGCAGGTTCGGGACAGGCCTCATGATTCTACTTCGAGCTAGCCTGGCTTGGGGTCACATCCATCGTTTTGCTTTCTCAGCCCACAAACAGGAAAACTATCATGCGCATGGTTGTGGGAAACGACCATACCAAAGTGGACCGTCCTTAGGACTACTGCGTCATTTTAAAGGGGTTTCCCTTGGTATCACAGAAAGAAAAACCAACTTCCCACTACCATGATCATGGGCGCTGAAGAAAGAGGCATGGTCCACATCATCCCAAAAGTGTTCAAGTGCCATTTCCCTCTACTGGTGATCTTGATCACCCAAAACACCGGTCACTTCAATGGCCCCCCAAAGATGCGGGAATTTCTGACTGGGCAAGAGCGGTTGGAATGTCATCCCGACTTTCTTCTCAAATCGAAACCTTCCCCGATCCCTTTGTTTTTCTGAAAGTTGTCTAAGCCATGAAAAAAGCCATGAACAGGGAATCTTGAAGGTTGCAGCTGCTTCTGGGGAAGAGCCCCATCCCAAGCAAGTTTGGTTATAAGTGCTCGCCGGCAAATAAACGTGGACATCCAAGACCAATTTTCAAGGAACCTCCTTGGGAAACTCACACAAGCCAGGTATGTAACGCGTCAAGAGGGACCCTCATCTTCTAAAGATACCATAAACACGTTTAGGGCGCCAACAGGTCCAACTTTTTGACGTGCGCTGACCGCAAGGTCCTTTTGGCCTGCCCCCTCAATTATAGTGGTGAACAGCGGAACATTTTCCCGGGGTAAATGGTATTTGATTAGGGGTTGCATTCTACAATACGTCAGTATCGCTTGTGCTTTGTTCAAGCACTAACAGGTAGCACTTTGCACTACGTAGGCAAGACCCAAGCAGGCACTCTGGTAGACATTATTTGCATGGAGGAGTTATACAAACACAAACCATTATTTCTATGTGCAACACAATCGCACCGCGAAATCTTGGATTTGTCAAATTCGGGGAACCCTCTAAACATGTGGTGCTCCTTTTGGCTTCCCTTGCAAGCAATCCCAAAACGGGTACCTCCAAAAACGGACACACATCCCATGATTATGGTTAGGCCGAGGTATAGAATGTATCTGTTATTGTTTGCTTCATGTGGAGTCACTGGTAAAACATAAAATGTATCCTAAGTCTACCCCAGATCCCTAGCGGACACCAGCCCTCAGCCCTCAACATCCGAGTCGCAAAGCCCACCACGTTCTCCAACAAAATGCACTGGGGAGGCCTGCGCATCCTCAGCACGCAGTTCTATCACTGTCTGTTTTCTGTGGATGGACGAAATCCGTTTCGCACCACCTAAGAAGCCACGGGATGGTGATTCCCTTGTAAATACCGACAAACAATGGTTTCCCATGGTTTTAATTTGGGGCAGGGGAACTCAGTGTTTGCCGGAATTTACAGGGCAATCATCATTCCGGGGGTCCTGAGGAGGTGCAGGATTTCGTCCATCCACTGTATGGAAGCCGCTTTGAAACTGGGCTGTCCGTTGTCTGATCCCCTGCTAAACTCTTATGGCTGGGAGCCGCCAAGGAAAGGGACACCAAAAAGCAACGGACGGTTGAAGGAACCGCCTGGCTCTTTGATCTGTTCTGCTGCTACATTCTCTCTGAATCTCCTGGTACTTGCGCTCGCGCAGACTCCCAAAGTCACACTGCACCCGGAACGTCACCCAAAGAAGCAGAAAAGCAACGTTTGCGTGATTCTATTGCTTACAATGATCGAAGACTTCCCCCGACCTCCGAGCCTGGTGACATCTTTGACATACCTTTCTAATTTGTTCCAGTGCACGCACAGACGCTGTGACTCAAACCAGCGGCCAATCCTGAGAGACACAATTATTGCCGGAACTGGGACTCAGAAGTCCCGTGCATCGCACCAAAACATCGGGTGGGCGAGAAGTCAAACGAATCCTGAAGAATCTACCAGAAATCCTCCGGGTGCAGACTGCGCAAGCAAAGATGTGGGAGACTGTCTACGGTACTAACATGGGAACTCGGTGCTTCAGCCCGTCCGTCTACCCCGAATGGATGACAGTGTTCACTGACGGGCTGCGTCAAGATAGGACCCTATGGCGCCTCTCCTTCTTCCCCAAGCCAACCTAAAGGATGCCAACAAGAGAACACATACAAAAAAGACCAGGAACCGCCCCCTCAATGCCTGTCATATATGTACGTGTAGGTGTGTATATTACATACTGCATATCTATATTGATTTATATATGTATATGGCTGTGGCTCAAACATATGTACCAAAATGGCACCTTGGCAAATGGAACCAACGACTAAAACCTGCGCAAGCCTATCTCTTGAATTTTGAGCCACACCCATATGTCATGTATTCAAGCCGATGCATACTACACAAACCCTGCAGCCCGGCTCATTCCCCCGGCTTTCTTACCAGGCAAGGCAGCGCCAAGGCTCAGAGGCAAAAGGCTGATGAGGTGCAGCAGGCCCCTGGACCTCCGGTTCCATCCCAGTTCGATCCCAAGCGTCGGCCACTCGTTGGTAGGTCTTGGCCCCATTTTGCAACTTTTGGTGTTTGAAGGGCAAGCGAAGCCACTTGGCTACCCAGGGCAATGGAATCACTGGGCCATGCGTGGAACCCCAGAAACACTCGTGAATATCTGTTTGGGTTCCATGTTGATGTGTAGCGGAGAAACCATCCAAGTTCTCTGTTCATAATTTCATACACTTCTGGGCTGCTCATCCCTCCCTGAGCAAAGGGCCTGACCTTTTGCAGGTGTAATGGAAACGCCAAATTTGTGTGCAAAGGGTCTAAGGGGCGGTTTGGTCAAACCAAAGACCAGCCACAAGTATATCCAAGTTTTGAATTTACTCCAAAACCTGAAATGGGGATCCCCACGTGAAGAATCTACATCAGGGCAGAGTATATACTCTTAAACTGCTCAGATCATGGTCATCCACTTGGCTTTGGAACCACGCACGGCATAACGCACCCATGTTAAATGTCAAGTTGGTCAAAATCCTCTTAGGTAGATGGGTGTGTCTCACAATAGGGCAACCTCCAAAATGGTGATCTTCCTGTTGGTTTCCCGTAATAACCGGAAAGTCGTAACCTCAAGAACAAACATGCACACACTCACACCCAGATCATGGGTGGAAACGGCTTGGTGTTGGATGGATTGCTCTCGTGCTAGCCCTGTCACCAGGTGAGGATCTATAGCCATACCGAAAAAGCCGCGTACATGACATGGGTGTACCTGTTTTGAGCAAACCAAATGGGCGAGCAACGCAGGTTCCGGCCAACCCTGCTTCACCCAATCACCCCGGCCCCATACCCGTCCTGTCATCCTCATGATCTTTCCTTGGGTGGCAGAGTTCTATGACATGAACAGAACATTCTTCACAAAGTTAGCCAACACCTTGGCGGATTCAGTTTGGCCCCATCAACCAATGGGCGAAGGAAAGGCAACTCTGGAATGTCTTTCCAGACCTTGCGCTGTCAAGAACATTAAAGACATGGATTTAAGGACCAATTTATATACCCCAAACCACACCGATAGGCCTTAGATGGGGATAGCTTTTGGGGTGTGTACCCTGTACTCGTGTATAGCCACTGATTTTGGGGGTATGCCCATTTGGAGTAACTTCAATGCAAGTTGGCCCGAATGGATATGAGGAAGCTTGCAGGAACCTGACCAAGAGTGCGATCACAAAATGACAATGGAAAATGTTTAGAACTAACCTGAAACTGATGCCATCTATTCTCAACCAAACTCAAAGAGCCTATGGGCAAGTCATGAGTTGCGACACTCGGTTGCCATTTCCGTTGCTCCGTAAAACTGCATGTCACCATGCAGCCAGTGCCAAACGACAAGCCTCAACCGAGCAGCGCAGGCAGCCCAACCTGGGTCTGGAAATGAGGGACTCATCATGGCCATGTGGCTTAAAAGTCCGGAGCGCAGCCGACTGATGCAGTTTGCTCCACCTTCGTTTCTACATCGCGAAGCACAAAGGCGAGAGGACCGGTTGAAGTTGCCATGGAGGCACGCCGCGCACTGCACACAGCTCTGCTTCAGCTTCTTCTGCTTTGCCATGACACCCGCAGCATTGCGTGCAAATTCTCATTTTACTCTCCCATGAGGGCAAGGGCTACTCTTCTCACTGTTTGACTTCGCCTTGCCGCGCAGGCGGCGATTTTTTTTCCTCTTTTTTTCTCGCGTTTGGCCAAGAGGGCACCCAGCACAAAGACAGCAAGCTCGCAACTCACCCATGCTCACAGCTTTGCCTTTGTCCTGAAACAGCTTGTTTGGACTGGGCCTTTGAGTTGCTTCCAGCATGGGCAATCTGTGCAGACAGGAAGTCTGCAACTTGTGGCAAGTTGGCACTAACACATCTGGCTTGCAACCTACGCCACTGCTTCTTGACCACCAAGCTCTCAATTTCAAAAAGCTCCTGGAATTTCTGCAAATGAATCTGCAAGCACTGCTGCGAAGGCTGCACCAATGAGTGTGTCAAATCCATGACATCCAGGCAACACAGTACTCGGGCATGCCATCGCCTTGGCATCGCGGCGACGACAGGGCAGCGATGACACAGAATCCGGTCTGCTAATTCCTCCAGTTCCAGCTCCAAATCCTTGACATACGTCTCGCGGCTTGTGGGCTCGCTGTTCTTCCACGTCTGGATTGCCCTCTGCATCAAACGCACTGCTTTATCTTCAAGTTGCTCACGGTCCGATGTGCGAGGCTCTCTGCCAAGCGAGCAACCTTCAGCCGCAGCTGGGTCTTCGCCCAAGAATCGTCCAGCATACTGAGACACGGCCGTCAGAATCCGAACTAAGCGCTCGCACAACGGCTGACCATCAGGCTGGTTCTCCAAAGATTCCAGGTACCGCAACAACACACCGACCACTGACAGGCCGTTGTGTTCCCTCGTCGTCTCCTCTGGAAGTGCTAAAAGCCAATAAGCCACGTGAATGCTTCTGAACAACCTCAGCCCGCTTTTCTCTAAATCGTCGAGCGTGATACTGAACTCTCTCGTCGTCCAACACGTCTGCCTCAGTCATGCTGCAGTTATGTTCTTCTCGAGCCCAAATGTTCTCGCGCAAAATCGTGGGAGAGGGAAAGAAACAGCTAAAGTTCTGACTGCACGATACTGCTTGGGCAACGCAGTCTCGTGTGGATGATACAACAGAAAGGTGTCACAGCAAGCACGCTAGACACGGCATTATAGCGCACCATTGGCCAAAGGCTGCAACGACAGTTGCGTTGGACATGTCAAAAGCATGGGAAACGAGAAAAACACCCGAAACAACACAGATACAATATTGACACTGTAAGTGCTGCATCCAAGCAAGTTGCGGTGATTTTGCTTTCGGCCGGCAAGGATCTAGTGATTTCCTGGCATTTACCTGATGGGCGCAATGCCATAAGTCAGCACAGGGGTTGAAACTTGCAAACGCATATGCAAAAGTATGTGGAGGGAACACTTGAGACGTGAAAAGCACTCATTGACTTTGATTGTGACAATTTGATTGCAAAGGTTAGTATTATAGGCCTTGCTATCTGTGCAAGTTACATCACCTACCAGTAGCAGCCTCTCCTACCGTCGGCAATGGGGGTGAACCTAGATCGAACAATGCATATTAAGTTCCAGTTCTTTTTGGGTTAAAAACATGTCAAGTGCTGGGTGCCGGAATTCGGCAACCCATATGACACTCTACCTGCAAACAAATGCCTTGCTGCGTCAAGTAACCCTTTGCTGGAACGAATGGAACGCTCTCTTCCCCATCTTTAGTGGGTGAGCAAAACACATCAGGCTTTGAAGCCACCCTTTGAAAACGAATGGAACCTAGAACGCGCACAGAACAACTACAGCACGTGTCAAGACATGCGAAGCTTCCCCTGTCTCAACCTTTCCTTTCATGTCTGCAGTGTCAACCTGAGAAGCAAGGTGCCTTGGATGAGAACTCTTCGGAATTTTCATTGAACCTCAAATAAGAGTCCGATTTGTGCCACTCGGATCCAAAAGCAACAAGTATGAACTATGAACCCAAATCCAAATGTCACCGAGAACCTTGCGTCACGCACGTGCAACTCTCTACGCACGCGAAATTTGATCCTCAGGTCCAGCCTGTACAGCTAGGCCTCGCAGGCCAGAACGTGGAACAATACACTGACGGCATTTTCTTCGGAGCTTCCCATGCGCGCAAGCGCTGCACAGGATGCAACTTCGCTTCGCCTTGCCGTGTTGACAAGAACTGCATTTCCGGCAGTCATGCTTCCTTTTGCCATGCGGACAGCCACAGCAATGCACACAGCTTCGCCTCACCTTGCCATGCGGACATGGACAGCACCGATGGCAGTTTTGCCGCAGTTTTCCATGCGGGCAGCCACGACACTCCACGCAGTTTCTGATTAACTTACCATGTGGACACGGCTTGCATTTCTCGCAGAATTGCTTCACCTTACCATGAGGGCAGCCAGCACAAATGCGGCAATATCGCAATTCGCCGTGCTCGCATCTTCGCCGTTTCTGGCTCTTGCCTCCTTTGGACACGGCAGCACACATCAAGTTGGAGTGCCCTTTCCTGCTCATGGCAACTGGTAACTCTGCACAAACTTCTTGAGGGTTGCCACCAACACACTTGGCCTGCAACCTAAGCCACTGCTTCTTGCTGGCCACAGAGCTCGCACTTTCGAGAAGCTCCTGGAACTTCTGCAAATTAATCTGCAAGCACTGCAGCGAAGGCTGCACCAACGAGTCTGTCAAATCCATGACATCCAGGCAACACAGTACGATCTTTCGCAGCCGAACTTGCAGGTCTGGACATGCTGGCAGCTCACTCTGCGATGGGCTGCACTGGGGCATGCCATGCCCTTGGCACCGCGGTGACGACAAGGCAGCGACAGCACGGCGCAGAATCCTCCGCAGTGTGGCAGGGTCGGCCGATTCCTCCAGTTCCAGCTCCAAATCCTTGACATACGTCTCGCGGCTTGTGGGCTCACTGTTCTTCCACGTCTGGATTGCCCTCTGCATCAAACGCACTGCTTTATCTTCAAGTTGCTCACGGTCCGATGTGCGAGGCTCTCTGCCAAGCGAGCAACCTTCAGCCGCAGCAGGGCCTTCGCCCAAGAATCGTCCAGCATACTGAGACACGGCCGTCAGAATCCGAACTAAGCGCTCGCACAACGGCTGACCATCAGGCTGGTTCTCCAAAGATTCCAGATACCGCAACAACACACCGACCACTGACAGGCCGTTGTGTTCCCTCGTCGTCTCCTCTGCCGGAAGCGTCAAAAGCCAAGAAGCCACGTGAAGAGCATGCTTCTCAAGCCGTGCCTTGCTCATCTCCCCCCTCTGCGTCTCGTAGCGCTGCAGAACAACCTCAGCCTGCTTTTCTCTAAACCGGCGGGCGTGATACTGAACTCTCTCGTCGTCCAACACGTCTGCCTCAGTCATGTTGCAGTTATGTTCTTCTCGAGTGCTCTCGAGCCAAATCGTGGGAGAGGGAAAGAGACAGCTAAAGTTCTGACTGCACAATACTGCTTGCGCAACGCAGTCTCGTGTGGATGATACAACGGAAAGGTGTCACAGCAAGCATGTCAGACACGGGATGATTGCGCACATTTGACAAAAAGCTGCAACGACAGTTTAGGCGCTGGACATGTGAAAAACATGGGACAGGAGAAAACCGCCCGAAACAACACAGATACAATAAGTGCTGCATCCAAGCAAGTTGTGCCGGTTTTGCTTTCGGCCGTCAAGGATCTAGTGATTTCGTGGCATTTACCAGATGGGCGCAATACCATAAGCCAGCAGCCACAGGGGTTGGAACTTGCAAATGCACTCGCAAAAGTATGTGGAGGAAAACACTTGAGAAGTGAACAACACACTCATTGACTTTGACTCGGCCAAATTGATTGTCAAGGTCAGTATTACAGGCCTTGCTATCTGTGCTATATCACCACCAGTAGTAGCCTCTCCTGACATTGGCAATGGGGGTGAAGCTAGATCAAAGAATACATATCAAGTTCCAACTATTTTTCAATTGAAAGCATGTCAACTGCTGGGGGCTGGAATTCGGCTACCCATGCGACACTCGACCCGCGGACGAGCGCCTTGCTAAGCCAACTAACCCTCCGGTGGAACGAATGGAAGGCTCTCTGCCCAATCTGTGGTAGGTGAGCAAGACACTCAGGCTTTGAAGCCACCCACTTAACATGAATGGAACCTAGAATGCACGCAGAGTACCTGTCCTGAAATGTGAAGCTTCCCTTGTCTCAACCTGTCCTTTCATGCCTGCAGTGTCAACCTGAGATGCCAGGTGCCTTGGATGAGAACTGGATCTCTTTAGATTTCTTGATTGAGCGTTAAATAAAGTCTGATTTGGAAATCCAAATGTCACCGAGCACCGTGCGTCACACGTGTGTAACTCTCTTCGCACGCAAAATTTGATCTTGAGGTCCAGCCTCTACAGCCCGGCCTCGCCGGCCGGAACGTGGAACAACACACTGACGGCACTTTTCTTCGGAGCTTCCCATCGCAAGCGCTGCAAACGACGCAGCTTCGCCTCGCCTTGCCGTGTTGACAAGAACTGCATTGCGGGCAGTCCTGCTTCCTTTTGCCATGCGGACACCCACAGCAATGCACACAGCTTCGCCTCAACTTGCCATGCGGAAATGGACAGCACCGAGTGTATCCTTACCAGGAGACCAGCCAGCACAAATGCGGCAACATCGCAATTCGCCGTGCTCGCATCTTCGCCGTTTCTGGCTGTTGCCTCCTTTGGACAAGGCAGCAGACTTGAAAAACACCAACACTGGGGCTTCCCAAAGAAGTCGAGGTCCTCCCCATGTTCGCCACTGTTCCCGTCGTGCAGCACGGACAGAAAGTTATATAACCCCTAGGAAAACAAAAGGACACACCTTCCTAAGGGCCCCTGAAGCTGGATGCTGAACGCCGCTTTCCTTTCTGTTGCCAAACGGGTCACGGTGGAGTCAGCGGTAGATTTGGGCTTGCGGATGAGCACAGCATATCCCCGGCATGCACAGGAACTTGTCGTCCGCGTCGCTGATTTATATATTATGGTCATTTGTGTGATGCGCTGCTTGACCTCCTTCATGTACAAGCTGCTTCACTGCCATTATGAAGTCCGGCCCTCCGCCAGCCCCACTGCAGCTCATGTTGAAAATGCGACTTGATGCACGGCTCCACAAAGACCTTCACCGGCGTTTCCGACTGGTGTTGCGTGCTCGATGCCTTGCTGAAGATACATCTCCAGATCTGAGAAAGCGTCTTGTATCTTTTTTGGCAGGGCGTGCTGGGCAATGCACTGCAGGGCATGCAGCTTCGCTTCCGCTTGCCGTGCGGGCGGCATTGCACTTCGCGCAGTGGTATTTGACCTTCCCATGGGGGCACCCGCTGCACTGAGAGCAGTTCTGCTTCAGCTTGCCGTGTGGACACGCGCTGCACTGAGGGCAATTCTGCTTCATTTTCCCGTGTGGGCAGCCGCGGCACTGCACGCAGTATCTTGCCATGGGGGCAAGGGCTACACTGCTTGCAGTTCTGCTTTGCCTTGCCATGCGGGCAGCCAGAGCAGAAGCGACAATGCCACCGCAGCTCGCCATGCTCGCATCTCTTTCTTTTCCCACTCGTGCTTCGTTTCACGTCTGTGGCATCAAGACATTGGCCTGTAGAAGCAGCTTGCGACATGCTACTGGAGCCAGCGACCTCGGTCATGCAGAAACCAGCACACTTGGCCTGTAACCGAAGCCAATGCTTTTGGCTGGCCACCAAGCTTTCACTGGTCAATAGCTCCTCTAACTTCTGCAAATGTGCCTGCAAGCACTGCAGTGCACGTACCACTGACGCATCTGCAAAATCCAAGCTATCCAGGCACAGCAGTACCAGTTTGCGAAGACGGGCTTGCAAATCTGCACATGCTGACAGCTCGCTGTGAGATGAACTGCTCGGCGCGGTCTCGCCTTGGCGACAAGGCTGCGACAGCACAGCGCAGAATCTTTTGAAGAGCAGCAGGATCGTCCGATTCTTCCAATTCCTGCTCCAGTTTCCTGACGTAGGATTCTCGAGCTCCTGGCTCTCTGTTCTTCCATCTCTGTATTGCCCTCTGCATCAAAAGAACTGCCTTAGCTTCCTCTGTCATTGCGCCAGATTCGCTAGCTGGTCCCAAGTCTGTGGGCGGCAAGAGCTCGTCGATTTGGCCAAGCAGCGCTCCCAGGAAGTCAACGGCAGTGCTGCCAGTGCGTCGCACAAGTTCCAAAATCGCTGTCAAGTGCGTGCAAAGCGGCTGCCCATCATGCAGCACTTCCACATATCCAGATAACACACTGGCCACCGAGAGCCCATTGTGACTCAGCGTAGCTTCCTTTGGAAGTGCAACCGCCCAGCAAGCCACATGAAAGGCATGTTTCTCCAACTCCGCCCTGTCCATGTGCTGCCTTCTCAGATCGTAGCGATGCAGAACAACTTCTGCTTGTTTCTTTTGAAAACGCCTGGCGTGATACCTGACTCTCTCATCTTCCACTGACACAGCAGCCATACAAGCCACTGAGCTTTCGCCCAAGCCCGTGCTGCCCCAAAAGGATTTCAAAATCGAGCGATACGCAGCGCCATGGCTATCATGTGTGCAAGCAGGGACATAGGCTTGTACCTCAATGGCAAAACGTATTCGAATCCAGCCCCGAGGATTGCAAATGGCTGGGTTCAAGTGGCTCTGGACACTCCGCATCGTGTGCAACCTGCCACTACCTCGATCTTGAAAGGCATGATGCCACACCAAGGCCCGCTGCTCAGGATGAACAATTCAATTTGCCCCAACACCCCAAAGACACGAGGATTGCGAAGCCCAAGCTCCTACGAGGTCCTTCGCTTGTTTTGACTCCGAAGAAGCGAGCCGTCTTCGACCCCTTCATAAAGGGAAGCAACATAAAACAGGCGGTCCGTCTGCCGCGTTGCGACCAACGTGGCATCCCAAAGAACACCAACACTGGGGCTTCCCAAAGAAGTCGAAGTCCTCCCTATGTTCGCCACTCCCCTCCTCGGGAAAAGAGGCCCCCTGAAAATGGATGGTGAACGTCGCTTTCTGTTTGTTCCCAAACGGGTCCCTACGGAGTCAACAGTAGTCTTGCTCCTTGCAAATGTTGTTGTTGGGAAATCTATCCCCGGCATGTTCCAAAGCTTCTCGCACGGAACGTGTCGCTCGATGCGACCTTGACCTCCTACAAGCTGATTCACCAGCCCCACGAAGCGGAAGCGGGGGGCTCTCCAGCTCATGTTGAAAGCTTCGTTTGTTGCATCTTTCTGAAAGCGACTCGATTTAGGTCCACAAAAGGCCCTGAACCTGGACGTTCCATTGATACCGGTTCTTTTTGCTTACTGCTTTTCCTGCTCGAACACCCAGTTTGTGCCCGATTCTTCAATTTCTGCCCGAGCAATGGACAAGTGACCGAGGTTTATTTTTTCAAATGAGCACCTTTCAAAGTTGCGCCCGTTTGCGGGTTTTTGCGCTCGTTTTGCGGGCCGTTGCGGGCGTTTTTGCACACAATTTCTGCTCGAGTAGGTGACCTGACTGCCCTCATGCCTCCAAAAACTGCTCGAAGTCCAAAAAAGAGGAGACGCCAAAAGAAAAAGGGACGCATTCCAAAAACCAGCCGATTGACAGGGGAGGCAGCAATTTTAGGTACGTTTGAAGGGCCAGGAACATTTTGAACGGCGTTTCCGACTGGTGTTGCATGCTTGATGACTTGCTGAAGTTTAAGCACGCAAAAACCAAGCATAAAACGGCGAGCGCCTGAGTTATGCGGCCACAAGGCATTTGCCACAGGCCGTCCCTTCAATAATAACTACTTCCTGTTGGGACCTGTGTGGAACACGCATGCGTTCACCGACTCATACATCATGATTCTCCTTTCTCACGAGATGCCCTGATGTTTGACGGGTGTCTGTGTGTATCTCAGTTGCCCAAAGGACCTGGAACTAAAGGGTTAACATGGGTTAACCTTTTGGGCAAAATGGGAACCAAAAGGTCAAAAGGTTGGCTTTGAACAACTGAGGCATCAGTGAGGGGTCAAGTTACCTCTCCAGAGCTGAGAAAGCGTCTTGCATCTTTTTTGTCAGGGCGCGCTGGGCAAGGAACTGCACCAAATGCAGCTTCGCTTCCGTGTGCTGTGCGGGATGCACTGCAGTTCGCGCAGTCATATTTGACCTTCCCATGGGGGCACCCGCTGCAAAGCGAGCAGTGGCGCTTCCTCTTTCCGTGCACGCACCCGTGGCAATGCAGGCAGTTGCGCTTCACGTTGCCATGCGGACAGCCGCTGCACTCTGGGCAGTTTTGCCTCAGCTTGCCGTGTGCACACGCGCTGCACTGAGGGCAGCGTTGCTTCATTTTCCCGTGTGGGCAGCCGCGGCACTGCACGCAGTATACACTGCGTGCAGTTCTGCTTTGCCTTGCCATGCGGGCAGCCAGAGCAGAAGCGACAATACCACCGCAGCTCGCCACGCTCGCATCTCTTTCTTTTCCCACTCGTGCTTCGTTTCACGTCTGTGGCATCAAGACATTGGCCTGTAGAAGCAGCTTGCGACATGCTACTGGAGCCAGCGACCGCGGTCATGCGGAAACCAGCAAGATGCGTCAGTGGTACCTGCGCTGCAGTGCTTGCAGGCACATTTGCAGAAGTTCGAGGAGCTATTGGCCAGTGAAAGCTTGGTGGCCAGCCAAAGGCATTGGCTTCGGTTACAGGCCAAGTGGCCACATCCAGGTTATCCAGGCACAGCAGTACCAGTTTGCGAAGACGGGCTTGCAAATCTGCACATGCTGACAGCTCGCTGTGAGATGAACTGCTCGGCGCGGTCTCGCCTTGGCGACAAGGCTGCGACAGCACAGCGCAGAATCTTTTGAAGGGCGGCAGGGTCGTCCGATTCTTCCGATTCCTGCTCCAGTTTCCTGACGTAGGATTCTCGAGCTCCTGGCTCTCTGTTCTTCCATCTCTGTATTGCCCTCTGCATCAAAAGCACTGCCTTAGCTTGCTGTGTCATCGCTAGCTGGTGCCAAGTCTGTGGGCGGCAACAGCTCGTCGATTTGGCCAATTAACGCTCCCATGGAGCCAACGCCAGCGCTGCAATTGTGTCGCACAAGTTCCAAAACCGCTGTCAAGTGCGTGCAAATCGGCTGCCCATCATGCAGCACTTCCAAATATCCAGATAACACACTGGCCCCCGAGAGCCACTTGTGATTCAGAGTCGCTTACTTTGGAAACGTAATCACCCAGCAAGCCACCTGAAAGGCATGTTTCTCCAACTCCGCCCGGTCCATGTGCTGCCTTCTTGAACGTAGCGATGCAGAACAACTTCTGCTTGTTTCTCTTGAAAACGCCTGGCGTGATACCTTACTCTCTCATCTTCCACTGACACAGCAGCCATACGAGCCACTGGGCGTTTTTGCCCAAACCCGTGCTGCCTCAAAAGGATTTTAAAATCGAGCGATACACAGGGCCATGGCTATCATCTGTGCAAGAAGGGAATCCAGCCCCGAGGATTGCACATGTCCCAAGTGGCTCTCGGTCTTAAAGGCAGGATTCCACACCAAGGCTCGCTCAGGACGAACAAATCAATCATGTTGGGCACCCGCAACTACTCCGATGGACATGAACATGGAACCCCAAAAGCTCATCAATAGCGGAATCGCTTTTCGCGTGACCCCCGCGCTTCCGGGCTCCATGTCAATTTGCAACAACAATTTAAAGAGACGAGGATTGGGAAGCCCAAGCGCCTACGACCCTCCCCCCTCCCCCCGCATGAGGTCCTTCGCTTGCTTTGATACCGAAGAAGCGAGCCGTCAAAATCACGGGCCTTTTCTTCGACCCCTTCATAAAGGGAAGCAACATAAAACTGGCGGTCTGTCTGCCGCGTTGCGACCAACGTGGCATCCCAAACAACACCAACACTGGGGCTTCCCAAAGAAGCCGAGGTCCTGTTCGCCACTGTCCCCGGAAGGGTAAGGATAGAAAGCTATGTAAGCCCTAGGAAAACACAAGGACGCAAGTTCCTTCCCTAAGGGCCCCTGAAAATGGTTGGTGAAGGTCGCTTTTCTTTCTGTTTGTTCCCAAACGGGTCCCTACGGTGGAGTCAACAGTGGTTTTGAGTTTTGACATCGCTAGGTCGGACGAGCACAGCAGGAACAAGGAAGCAAATGAGGGCTCCTTGCAAATGCTGTTGTCCTTGGGAATTATATCCCTCGCATGTTGCTCCAAAGCTTCTCGCCTCACAGAACGTGTCGCTGATTTATATATTATGCTCATTTGTGTGATGCACTACCACCATTAGCTGCACGATGCCAACACATATCACGTCTTCCCGATATCATTCCCGGCCCTCCAGCCCCACGACGCAGAGGGGTGGGGGGGGCTCCAGCTCAATTTGAAATCCTTGAGACCTATGGGGAACACACATGTGTCACGAGATTCCCTGATGTTTGACGGGGGTGTATCAGTCAGGGGTCAAGATACCTCTCCAGAGCTGAGAAAGCGTCTTGTATTTTTCTTGTCACGGCGCGCTTCGCTTCCGCGTGCCGTGCGGGATGCATTGCACTTTGCGCAGGCATATTTGACCTTCCCATGGGGGCACCCGCTGCAAAGCGAGCAGTTGCGCTTCCGCTTTCCCTGCACGCGCCCGTGGCAATGCGGGCAGTTGCGCTTCACGTTGCCATGCGGACAGCCGCTGCACTCTGGGCAGTTTTGCCTCAGCTCACACGCGCTGCACAGAGGGCACAGTTGCTTCTTTTTCCCGTGTGGGCAGCCGCTACACTGCACGCAGTTTCTCATTATGTTGCCGTGGGGGCACGGGCTACGCTGCGTGCAGTTCTCACCGCAACTTGCCATGCTCGCATCTCTTTCTTTTCCTACGCGTGCTTCGTTTCACGTCTGTGGCATCAAGACATTGGCCTGTAGAAGCAGCTTGCGGCATGCTCCTGGAGCCAGCAGCCGCAGACATGCGGAAACCAGCACACTTAGCCTGTTACCGAAGCCAATGCTGTGGCTGGCCACCAAGCTTGCACTGGCCAATAGCTCCTCGAACTTCTGAAAGTGTGCCTGCAAGCACTGCAGCGCAGGTGCCACTGATGCATCTGCCAAATCCAAGCTATCCAGGCACAGCAGTACCAGTTTGCGAAGACGGGCTTGCAATCTGCACAGACTGATAGCTGGCTGTGAGATGAACCGCAAGACGCGGTCTCGCCTTTGTGTCGAGGCGGCGACAAGGCAGCGACAGCACGGCGCAGAATCTTTTGAAGAGTGGCAGGGTCGTCCAATTCTTCCATTTCCTGCTCCAGCTTCGTGACGTAGGATGCTCGAGCTCCTGGCTCTCTGTTCTTCCATCTCTGTATGGCCCTCTGCATCAAAAGCACTGCCTTAGCTTCCTGTGGCATTGCGCCAGATTCGCTAGCTGGTGCCAAGTCTGTGGGCGGCACGTCTACTTGGCCAATTAACGTGTTCGGGGAGTCTGAGTCAACGCCAGCGCTGCAATTGTGTCGCACAAGTTCCAAAATCGCTGTCAAGTGCGTGCAAAGCGGCTGCCCATCATGCAGCACTTCCAAATATCCAGATAACACACTGGCCACCGAGAGCCCATTGTGATTCAGAGTCGCTTCCTTTGAAAGTGCAACCGCCCAGCAAGCTACATGAAAGGCGTGTTTCTCCAACTCCGCCCTGTCCATCTGCTGCCTTCTCAGATCGTAGCGATGCAGAACAGCTTCTGCTTGTTTCTCTTGAAAACGCCTGGCGTGATACCTGACTCTCTCATCTTCCAGAGACACAGCAGCCATACGAGCCACTGAGCTTTCACCCAAACCCGTGCTGCCTCAAAAGGATTTGGCGATACACAGGGCCATGGCTATCATCTGTGCAAGAAGGGAATCCAGCCCCGAGGATTGCACATGTTTCAAGTGGCTCTCGATCTTAAAGGCAGGATTCCACACCAAGGCTCGCTCAGGACGAACAAATCAATCATGTTGGGCACCCGCAACTACTCCGCTGGACATGAACATGGAACCTCAAAAGCTCATCATTAGCTGAATCAGAATCGCTTTTCGCGTGACCCCCGCGCTTCGGGCCTCCATGTCAATTTGCCACAACAATTTAAAGAGACGAGGATTGCGAAGCCCAAGCGCCTACGACCCTCCCCCTTCATAAAGGGAAGCAACATAAAACTGGCGGTCAGGCTTCCCAAAGAAGTCGAGGTCCTGTTCGCCACTGTCCCCGGAAGGGTAAGGATAGAAAGCTATGTAAGCCCTAGGAAAACACAAGGACGAAGTTCCTTACCTAAGGGCCCCTGAAAATGGACGGTGAACGTCGCTTTTCTTTCTGTTTGTTCCCAAACGGGTCCCTACGGTGGAGTCAACAGTGGTTTTGAGATTTGACATCGCTAGGTCGGACGAGCACAGCAGGAACAAGGAAGCAAATTAGGGCTCCTTGCAAATGCTGTTGTCCTTGGGAATTATATCCCCCGCATGTTGCTCCAAATCTTCTCGCCTCACAGAACGTCGCTGAAATCTTCATTTGTTGCATCCCTTTCAGAATATACTAACCCGCTCTTGAGACCTGTGGGGAACATGTGTCACGAGATTCCCTGATGTTTGACGGGTGTATCAGTCAGGGGTCAAGATACCTCTCCAGAACTGAGAACCCGCGTCTGATATCTTTTTTGTCAGGGGGCGCTTCCGCGTGCCGTGCGGAATGCATTGCACTTTGCGCAGACATATTTGACCTTCCCATGGGGGCACCGCTGCAAAGCGAGCAGTTGCGCTTCCTCTTTCCGTGTGGACACGCGCTGCATTGCAGGCAGTTTTTCTTCAGCTTGCCATGCGGACAGCTGCTGCATTCTGGGCAGTTTTGCCTCAGCTTGCCGTGTGCACACGCGCTGCACAGAGAGCAGTTCTGCTTCAGCTTGCCGTGTGGACATGCGCCGCACTGATTGCAATTTTGCCTCATTTTCCCGTGTGGGCAGCCGCAGCACTGCACGCAGTTTCGCATTATCTTGCCATGGGGGCAAGGGCAACACTGCGTGCAGTTCTGCTTTGCCTTGCCATGCGGGCAGCCAGAGCAGAAGCGACAATACCACCGCAGCTCGCCATGCTCGCATCTCCTGCTCTTCCCACTCGTGCTTCGTTTAACGTGTGTGTCATCAAGGCATGGCCCTGTCGCAGAAGCAGCTTGCGACATGCTACTGGAGCCAGCCTCAGTCATGCGGAAACCAGCACACTTGGCCTGTAACCGAAGCCAACGCCTTTGGCTGGCCACCAAGCTTTCACTGGCCAATAGCTCCTCGAACTTCTGCAAATGTGCCTGCAAGCACTGCAGCGCAGGTACCACTGACGCATCTGCCAAGTCCAGGTTATCCAGGCACAGCAGTACCAGTTTCCGAAGACGGGCTTGCAAATCTGCACAGACTGACAGCTCACCGTGAGATGAACCGCTCGGCGCGGTCTCGCCTTTGCGTCGGGGCGGCGACAAGGCAGCCACAGCAAGGCGCAGAATCTTTTGAAGAGCAGCAGGGTCGTCCGATTCTTCCAATTCCTGTTCCAGTTTCCTGACGTAGGATTCTCGAGCTCCTGGCTCTTTGTTCTTCCATCTCTGTATGGCCCTCTGCATCAAAAGCACAGCTTCCTGTGTCATTGCGCCAGATTCGCTAGCAGGTGCCAAGTCCGTGGGCGGCAACAGCTCGTCGATTTGGCCAAACAACGCTCCCATGGAGCCAACGCCCGTGCTGCAAGTGCGTCGCACAAGTTCCAAAATCGCTGTCAAGTGCGTGCAAAGCGGCTGCCCATCATGCAGCACTTCTAAATATCCAGATAACACACTGGCCACCGAGAGCCCATTGTGACTCAGCGTAGCTTCCTTTGAAAGTGCAACCGCCCAGCAAGCTACATGAAAGGCGTGTTTCTCCAGCACCGCCCTGTCCATCTGCTGCCTTTTCATTTCGTAGCGACGCAGAACAACTTCTGCTTGTTTCTCTTGAAAACGCCTGGCGTGATACCTGACTCTCTCATCTTCCACTGACACAGCAGCCATACAAGCCACTGAGGCTTTGCCCAAACCCGTGCTGCCTCAAAAGGATTTTAAGATCGAGCGATACGCAGGGCCATGGCTATCATGTGTGCACGCAGGGACTTTGGCTTGTACCTTCATGGAAAAACACATTAGAATCCAGGCCCGCGGATTGCGAATGGCTGGCCCCAAGTGGCTCTGGACACCCCGCATGTTGTGCAACATACCACTTATCTCGATCTTGAAAGGCAGGATTCCACACCAAGGCTGGCGGACGAACAAAATCATGTTGGGCACCCGCACCTCCGCTGGACATGAACATGGAACCCCAAAAGCCCATCATCGGAATCGCCTTTCGCGGGACCCGCTCCGCGTCAATTTGCAACTCAACCAACACAACCAGGGCATCTGGTCGTGGGGATGAGTCAGGACCTCTCCAATGGCCATGCTGCGCTTTCAAAACAACCCCCCCCCCTTCTCCCCGCGTGAGGGCCTCTGCTTGTTTTGAGACCGAAGAAGCCAGCCGTCAAAATCACGGGCCTTTTCTTGGACCCCTTTGAAGGGACGCAACACAAAACAGGTGCTCAAAGAACACCAACACTGGGTCTTTCCAAAGAAGCCGAGGTCCTGTTCGCCACTGTCCCCGTCAAGGTAAGTATAGAAAGTTATATACCCCTAAAAAACAAAAGGACGCACCTTCCTTGCCTAAGGGCACCTGAAGCTGGATGGTGAAGGTCGCTTTCCTTTCTGTTTGTTGCGACATGGCTGGGCTGGCGGATAACCACAGCAGGAACAAGAAAGCGCATGAGGGCTCCGTGCAAAATGTCGTCCTTCGTAAATCTATCCCCGGCACGATGTTCAAAAGCTTCTCGCCTCACGGAACGTGCCGCTCGTGTCGCTGATTTATATATCGCGGTCTGCTTGACCTTCGTGTACAAGGTGATTCAACAAACTGTTCACCGCCATTTGCTGCGCGATGCCTATCACATCTTCCCGATATCTTTCCCGCCTCTCCAGCCCCACGACGCAGGGGGGCCTCCAGCTCATGTTGAATCCTTATTTGTGGCTGATTTTTGAAAATGCGACATGATTTACGGCTCCACAAAGAACTTGAACGACCGACTGGTGTTGCGTGCTTGATGCCTGGTTCCATAACTACCCGCTGTTGAGACCTCACATGCTTTCACCGGGTCATACATCATGATTCTCCTTTCTCACGAGATACCCTTCTGTTTGACGGGGGGGTCAAGATACCTCTCCAGATCCGAGAAAGCGTCTTGTATCTTTTTTGTCACGGCGCTTCGCTTCCGCGTGCTGTGCGGGATGCATTGCACTTTGCGCAGTCATATTTGACCTTCCCATGGGGGCACCCGCTGCAAAGCGAGAGGTGCCGTTTCTCTTGCCGTGTGGACACGCGCTGCACTGAGGGCAATTTTGCCTCATTTGCCCGTGTGGGCAGCCACAGCAATGCACGCAGTTTCTTTCTATCTTGCCGTGGGGGGAAGGGCGACACTGCGTGCAGTTCTGCTTTGCCTTGCCATGCGGGTAGCCAGAGCAGAAGCGACAATACCACCGCAGCTCGCCATGCTCGCATCTCTTTCTTTTCCCACCCGTGCTTCGTTTAATGCCGTGTCATCAAGGCATTGGCCTGTCGCAGAAGCAGCTTGCGACATGCTACTGGAGCCAGCGACCGCGGTCATGCGGAAACCAGCACACTTGGCCTGTAACCGAAGCCAATGCCTTTGGCTGGCCACCAGGCTTTCACTGGCCAATAGCTCCTCGAACTTCTGCAAATGTGCCTGCAAGCACTGCAGGGCAGGTACCACTGACGCATCTGCCAAATCCAAGTTATCCAGGCACAGCAGTACCAGTTTGCGAAGACGGGCTTGAACTGCTAGGCGCGGTCTCGCCTTTGCATCGGGGCGGCGACAAGGCTGCGACAGCACGGCGCAGAATCTTTTGAAGAGCAGCAGGGACGTCCAATTCTTCCATCTCCTGCTCCAGCTTCGTGACGTAGGATGCTCGAGCTCCTGGCTCTCTGTTCTTCCATCTCTGTACGGCCCTCTGCATCAAAAGCACTGCCTTAGCTTCCTGTGGCATTGCGCCAGATTCGCTAGCTGGTGCCAAGTCTGTGGGCGGCACGTCTACTTGGCCAATCAACGTGTTCGGGGAGTCTGAGTCAACGCCAGCGCTGCAAATGCATCAGAAAGTACCAAAATCGCTGTCAAGTGCGTGCAAAGCGGCTGCCCATCATGCAGCACTTCCAAATATCCAGATAACACACTGGCCACCGAGAGCCCATTGTGACTCAGCGTAGCTTCCTTTGAAAGTGCAACCGCCCAGCAAGCTACATGAAAGGCGTGCTTCCAACTCCGCCCGGTCCATGTGCTGCCTTCTCAGATCGTAGCGACGCAGAACAACCTCTGCTTGTTTCTCTTGAAAACGCCTAGCGTGATACCTGACTCTCTCATCTTCCACTGACACAGCAGCCATACGAGCCACTGAGCTTTCGCCCAAACCCGTGCTGCCTCAAAAGGATTTTAAAATCGAGCGATACCCAGGGCCGTGGCTATCATCTGTGCAAGAAGGGAATCCAGCCCCGAGGATTGCACATGTCCCAGTGGCCCTCGATCTTAAAGGCAGGATTCCACACCAAGGCTTGCTCAGGACGAACAAATCAATCATGTTGGACACCCGCACCTACTCCGCTGGACATGAACATGGAACCCCAAAAGCTCATCATTAGCGGAATCAGAATCGCTTTTCGCGTGACCCCCGCGCTTCGGGGCTCCATGTCAATTTGCCACAACAATTTAAAGAGACGAGGATTGCGAAGCCCAAGCGCCTACGACCTTCCCCCCTTCCCTACCGAAGAAGCGAGCCGTCAAAATCACGGGCCTTTTCTTCGACCCCTTCACAAAGGGCAGCAACATAAAACTGGCGGTCTGTGTGCCGCCTTGCGACCAACGTGGCATCCCAAACAACACCAACACTGGGGCTTCCCAAAGAAGCCGAGGTCCTGTTCGCCACTGTCCCCGGAAGGGTAAGGATAGAAAGCTATGTAAGCCCTAGGAAAACACAAGGACGCAAGTTCCTTCCCTAAGGGCCTCTGAAAATGGACGGTGAACATGGTCACCGTCGCTTTCCTTTCTGTTGTTCCCAAACGGGTCCCGACGGTGGAGTCAACAGTGGTTTTGAGTTTTGACATCGCTAGGTCGGACGAGCACAGCAGGAACAAGGAAGCAAATGAGGGCTCCTTGCAAATGCTGTTGTCCTTGGGAATTATACCTGAACCCTCCAAAAGTACTGAAATTTCCGTACATGCAGAAAAAAAGTGTCAATGTACACTTTTGAGGAATTTTGACGGAAATCGCTTTTAGCAGGCTGTGAGCGTTTGTGGCGCACTTGGATGCACATGAACACAGTTTGCAATTTACACGGCCCGTCATACTTAATTCCGTTTCAGGTCTTTCGTCTCCAATTGCTGTTGGGCAATGTGTGACAGCTTCCTTGCCGCTGCGAGTTTGCAGTTTTCGGCGGGAAAAGTACGGAAATCTGCGGAAAATGCACGGAAATCAGCGGAACATTTTCTTGAGGAAATGGGCACCTTTTGTCCTTGGTGAATTGCACACCTTCAAATGGTATGAGCATGACAATCTCCAGTGCCATGGCCGGAGCTGAAAGTGAGATTCTTGTAGAAAAAGGTAGCAAAATGCTCCTGTGTCTTATGTTGAGCCTGCAAGAAAAGTACAGTTTTTGCTCAAATGTATGGATTTCAAGGAAATGCACGGATTTTTGCAGAGAGTCGCAAAAAAAGTGCCCTTGGTTGGTCGCCTCACAGAACGTGTTGCTGATTGTGTGATGCACTACCACCATTAGCTGCACGATGCCAACACATATATCACGTCTTCCCGATATCATTCCCGGCTCTCCAGCCCCACGATGCAGAGGCTCGGGGGGGCTCCAGCTCATGTTGTTCCCTGATGTTTGACAGAGGGGTGTATCAGTCAGGGGTCAAGATACCTCTCCAGAGCTGAGAAAGCGTCTGGTATCTTTTTTGTCAGGGCGCGCTTCGCTTCCGCGTGCTGTGCGGGATGCATTGCACTTCGCGCAGTCATATTTGACATTCCCATGGGGGCACCCGCTGCAAAGCGAGCAGTGGCGCTTCCTCTTTCCGTGCAGGCACCCGTGGCAATGCAGGCAGTTGCGCTTCATGTTGCCATGCGGACAGCCGCTGCACTCTGGGCAGTTTTGCCTCAGCTTGCCGTGTGCACACGCGCTGCACAGAGAGCAGTTCTGCTTCAGCTTGCCGTGTGGGCAGCCGCGGCACTGCACGCAGTTTCTCATTATCTTGCCATGGGGGCAAGGGCGACACTGCGTGCAGTTCTGCCTTGCCTTGCCATGCGGGCAGCCAGAGCAGGAGCGACAATACCACCGCAGCTCGCCATGCTCGCATCTCTTTCTTTTCCCACTCGTGCTTCGTTTCACGTCTGTGGCATCAAGACATTGGCCTGTAGAAGCAGCTTGCGACATGCTACTGGAGCCAGCGACCGCGGTCATGCGGAAACCAGCACACTTGGCCTGTAACCGAAGCCAATGCCTTTGGCTGGCCACCAGGCTTTCACTGGCCAATAGCTCCTGGAACTTCTGCAAATGTGCCTGCAAGCACTGCAGCGCAGGTACCACTGACGCATCTGCCACATCCAAGTTATCCAGGCACAGCAGTACCAGTTTGCGAAGACGGGCTTGCAAATCTGCACATACTGACAGCTCACTGTGAGATGAACTGCTAGGCGCGGTCTCGCCTTTGCATCGGGGCGGCGACAAGGCTGCGACAGCACGGCGCAGTTTGAAGAGCAGCAGGGTCGTCCGATTCTTCCAATTCCTGCTCCAGTTTCCTGACGTAGGATTCTCGAGCTCCTGGCTCTCTGTTCTTCCATCTCTGTATTGCCCTCTGCATCAAAAGCACTGCCTTAGCTTCCTGTGTCATTGCGCCAGATTCGCTAGCTGGTGCCAAGTCTGTG